TTCGTCTGGGTGTGAAAAGGCCTCGTGTTTGAGCGGGCTGCGCTTCGTTTTGGTTCGGTAGAAGACATCTTAGGGTTTAGGGCTTAAAACTCAACTCCGGCATGCGATTTACTAGCGTCTTTTTTCGTTGCCAACACTTTTCCATCTTGTCATTCGTTCGACTGTTGCTCATTTAATGTATTTTAAAGCTGTCCTGTTCGGTGTGGAACCTTGCTTATTGCCGGGATCAAGGTCAAGGTGGCCACGATCTTTTCGGGTTTAGGGTTTATGCCACGATGTCCGATTCTTTTGCTGTGTCGTGGCCCACTGCATGCAGAAAGCTCAAGGCTTGCAGGCCTTCACTCCGCTAGTGCTGATGTTTCTGTCCAGGGTTCCTGATGGGCTCAGCAGAACAAGGTTGTTATTTTTGGCTGAGGGCTTTCGGCCAGCGGGAGAAAATTCCCCAACAAATTTGGTCCAGCATATGACATCATTCATTTCTAATTTGACTATACTTTGATTTTTCGGCTGAAGGTTCGGTATGGCCAAACATTTCGGGCTGGGGTGATTTCTCAGTTTCGAGGCCGGGATTGCTATGTTGGTCTCCTTGTCCTGCTCCGGTGTTGGACTGGGTTGGACAGTATGCCTCACCAATCTGGTTCTGCTGCTTCAGGGTTTTCTAGGTTTCAAGGTTTTATCGTTGTGCAGTCAAGGGGCGACTTGGCATGTTCGGTGAAGAGCCAAGTTCCGTTGGTAGGTGTGTGTGAACATGTCCTCGGTGTATCTGACGGCCTGGGTTCCGGCAAAGGTTCACCAAACGCCTTGACACATCGCGCGTGGTCCAAAAAAAATTCAGTATTGTTGCCATGCGCTTGCTGCGGGTTTTGTCCATCGATTTTTGAAACCCTTCGTTGCTGTGGCTTTGCAGTCCTGGTGCAGTGTCTGTAAGTCGTCACAGCGCCGCGATTGGGGGTGTTTTGGCGTGAAATCGTGCTGCTGCAGTCCTATGAGGCCAGTAGGACCGCAGGGGTCAAAGTTTCCATGCGGGTGGTCAAGTCTGCCTGCAAGGTCGATATACTATCTCACCAGAGCGCAAACTGAACCACCGAAGTTTGTTTGGGATTATGCTTCAACATTGCTAACAGGACAGTCTTGGAACTGAGTTGCTCTATTGAAGAGGCAACAGTGTTCGTGCAGCAAACTTCCAGACAAGCGCTTTCGGATTTTCAAGACCGTCCCCACGAAACTGTCACGGCAAATATTAAGTATTTCCTACACATCCTGCTGCATTGCTGCACGGCAAGACAATGGGGCTCAGTAGCAACTTTTCGCTTTCGCTTTCGCCCGTGTGCGATTTTTACTCATGTTGGTCTTTTTGGTGCAAGGGTCTGCTGATATCTCAGGCTATGTTCGGGCTTAGGCTTTTCGCGGTAGGGCCAGGGGCTTAAGGCTTCGATGTCCTGCGTGATTTAATTTTCGGGTTTAGGCCTTTAGGCTTGTGTTGGGACGGTCAGAAGAGCTTACTTCGCTTCGTGAAAGTTGCAGGCCGTGCCGATCAGGCTACAAGTTTCAGGTAAGTTAATGTTTGCCCTGCAGAAACGGCCTTGGTCGGGTACAGTGACACCGTTTCCTTCTGTGGTTTCGGGCCACCTCTCCACGGTGCGTTGAGGTTCGGAGTGTTTTCAGTCCTAGTCCTTGTTTCATTTTGGTGGCAATTTCTTCATTCGTTTTTCAACACGATTGGGACGCGCGTCGGGGATGCGCCTGTCGCATACGACCAGAAGAGGGATGCTGCAGATGCGGTTTTACGACCTGCGATGCGATTTAATGCGGTTTTTATGCCTTATTTACGGTCAGTACGACGATGCTTGGAAAGATGTACTTCCATGCACATGCAGTTGGCTTTCTGAGGGAGAATCTGGGTTCGGACAGACTTACGACGTTTATCTGTCTGGTTTGGCTGTGGGATCGAGTACGATTGTTATGCGAAATCCGTGGGAATCTTGAAGCTTGCAGCCCAGAGTAGCGATGTCAGGCATGTTGTGAGGCTAAGTTCGACCCGTGTCTCGAACCCTGGTCCAAGTCCGAAATCGTATCTTAAGTCACTTAAGTCTTCAGTCGCACCCGAAGTTGTGTCCGTGTCGAAATCGTAGTTCCTGGGGATGAGAAAACGTATCCGAATCGTACAGGCACATATGCGGCATATGCCATTTCAGCGAGTCCTGCCGGTTCTCATGTCTAACCGTACTAGAATTGCCCAAACAGGGGCCGAGGCCGAAGACCTCAAAACCCATGGGTGCTAAGCTCTTCGCCTTGGGGCAGAGCTGCGGAGGACGAAGGCAAGGGAGGCGGGCGCGAAGCATGCGGGCGGGGCACTCGAGGAACGTGGGCAACACAGCGCGAGGCGAACGCTGACACGGAGGACGTGGGGAGGGCGGGGCAACAGAAGCACGGGACGTTTGCTTACAAGCCGTGTCAGGCCAAAGCAGGAGATCCTATCTAAGAACTCGTCTCAAAGAAGACCCCATCGCAGAAGACCCCACATACAGAGGGGCGTGGGGCGCTGACGCGAGGGACACGGGCCCGGACGCCAGGGATGGGATGTGCGGCGCTTCCCTTGCTGGCTTGATGTTTGTTTTCAGTTCCAAGGCCTGCCAACCCTTTTTGAGTTTCAGATCCTGGTTTTGGGCACATGTCCGACTCGCTCCCTTGTCCCGGCTTCACTCCGTGTCTCTGCAGTTGCCAGTTGCTCGGCTGCTTGAGGAGTTCCAGCTCCCGCCTCCTTGCAGAAGTTTGGTCTGCGACCCTGCCCATCCCTGCCTTCCAAAACTTCGGACATGTAGGAAGCCCAAAAGTCCGAAACAGCACGCGCATCCCTGAACCACGCCGATACAGACTCCTGTGCAAGATCAAGGCTGCAAGGGAGCAGAGTCGAACAGAGTACATCGTACCTAGTATTTTCAACAATCGTGGCTTTAAGCTCGCGTGGAGAGCTCCAAAGCAACGGGGCGATGCACAGTGGCCTGCAGGCCGTACCGGCCGTCTACAGAGGCAGCCGGTACGATGATTTGCAAAACCACTCGCTGCAATGCCGGATGGAAGTTTCTTACCTGTGCGCGTCGCAAGGATCACGCCTTGTACAACTTCGGCATTCCCAAGCTTCCACCTGGCACCTACACGTATCCAGCATGCATCAAGTGCAAGATTCTCGCCGGCAGAGATCTCTGCCAGCTGTGCCCTTGAGGATGTGTTGGGCAAGTCTCGGCTCTACACGCCGGTCTGTGAACAAGGCGAAGGAAGCCGATTGTGCTGAATATTCGGTTGCAACCTTAAGTTGTCTATACAGTTGCCTCGGCCAGCGCCAGCTTCGCGCCATGCTGGCATTGCTAAGGTTTTGATTGGTTCTATGCGGCTCCTTGCAGCGCGGGAGCTGGAAGATGAAAGCGCAGGACAAAACTGATGGCATGACTGACATATGCGCCAGCTTTTATTGTGACATGACGTACATGCACTCCACAGCCACGTAGCGATGCCAGTTCAGAATTGCTCTGCGATTGCAAGGAGACGAGCCTATCGTTGCACGGCGCCTGAGCCAAGAGACTCGACCAGAAGTTTTCAACATGTGGCAGACGGGTCTCAGGTTGTTGTGGTCTGAGGTTGGCTTGGAGAACCAGTCAGCTGGACTAGCAGTGGGACCCTCGCCGCTGCAGCAAGAGAGGACTTGTGTCGCAGGGCTTTCCTGCTCCATCGACTTAGATGGTACGTTCACAGACGGGGACAGAGTGATGGTGCTGGGTACCTGTGCCGAAGCAGGGGTCGTGAAGAATTGGCCGAACTCTGGAAGGTCATATCCGGCCGTTGATCAGAATTTCTCCTGGGGCGATGTTGCCGTCTCGGCAGCTGGCGGTGTGTACAGGCTATGTTGGTGTGTGGCTTACACTGGTCCGGCTGAGCAGCACATGCCGTGCGATGGAGGGGAGGACTTCAGGGTCGATGTTGGCTCAATGACTCTGATCGGTCCTGGACCAACAGCAGCTGGTCAACTGACAGCGGAACCGGATCCTTTGCAGCAGCGGACATGTGTCAGTGGCTTAAGATGTGTAATTCATGGCATCACCGGGATGCATCTTACTACACAGGATCGGTATGCAGTTCTGGATACGTGTGGATATCATGCTACGGTCCCACGTTTTGGGAATGGAGGCTTTTCGTCAAATGTGGCCAGAAGTGGGGCAACAGTGTATTTTGGAGAAGTCGCAACGAGTTCGTCAGGAGGCCAGTACCGGCTCTGCTGGTGTTCTGCGGTCGCAACATGTTCCTCAGGAGAGCACTTTGAGGTGACAGCAGCGCATTTACTAATCGTAGGTCCAGAGCCCCTGGAGCAAGACCGGACGTGCGTCTCTGGGAGTCGCTGCACCGTCCATGTGTCCGGTCTCTTGAACTCTCTGGATCGGGTCTTCGTTATGGACACATGTGGTCAGGATCATCTAGGACCAGGGCATCAACTGGTGGAGAGGTTTGCAGACTCAGGGCTGACAATGTCTGTTGATGCAAGTGGTGCCTTATTGAGCTGGAGCGACAGCACCTCGGCTGGTGGGCAATACCGGCTTTGTTGGTGCTCCGCCGACTCTGCATGCAGCGTTGCCGCAGAGTTCATGACGGATATCGGCGCGTTGCACGTTGTTGGCCCTTATGGCCGAAACGATCATACGTGCATTTCCGGACAAACCTGCGAAGTCCATGGACTGGTGGGACAGTACTTAAGCGTTGGTGATGTTTATGCTCTGCAGGATACCTGCGGGACTGGTTGGGTATCGCGAGTTCCTCGTGGTCAGTCCCTCTCTGCAGAGATCCACGGCGCCACGGTTGGTTGGGGTCCGGAGACGATTTCAGCTGCGGGTGGCGCTTTAGCTGCAATTCATTTCGATGGTCCGTTCGGTCGGGGCAATGGGGCTGATGATTGTGGTGTAACGCACGTGTGGCCAATTTGTGACATCTAGTAGAGTCTTGTTTTTCTCGTCATGTTCAATGTTATTTGCTTTAGCAACTTTCAGTTTTCATTGCCAGGCGTATACCGATTATGCTGGTGTGCCGCGACATTTTCCTGTGGCATCCAAGAGGATTTTCGGGTGGATGCCGGAGGATTTCTCATCGTCGGACCCTCGCCATTGATGCAAAGCCGAACTTGCGTGAGTGGGTACACTTGTCTGGTCGGCTCTTTTACAGGAGTCTTCCTGAACGACAACGATCAGATTGCCGTTCGAGACACATGCGGTCAGTCCACTGCTGCAGTTGGCTTTCCCAATGCAGGGCTTCTCGCTTCTGGCATGCTTCCGAGGGTATCTGCATCAGGTGGCCGGTACCGTTTGTGTTGGTGCGGTTTGCCCAGCAAGTGTTCACGACCCGAAAACTTCCGGACAGACTTTGGATCGCTTCTCTTGCTCGGACCCTCGCCGCTAGAGCAGCACCGAACATGTGTCTCGGGCCGCACATGTCGAGTCTCGGATTTGCTTTTCCACGGCGAATTTGACTGGTCAATCGGGCGTCTACTTATTCTGGAGACGTGTGCAACTCACGGTGTTTTGCCTCGCCTCTGGGCAGAACCCATATCACCTCCGCCAAGCCTAAATTCTGAGTCTCTGCTTGGTGCTTTTCAGACAGATGTTATTTCAGCAGCTGGTGGGACCTACACGTTGTGCTGGTGTTCGATGATTCCCGGACCTTGTCTGGATGCGGAGGACTTTCACGTTTCTATCGGTACCCTTGACATAATTGGCCCAAGCCCTCTGCGGCAAGATCGCACATGCACAAGTGGTCAGCGGTGCCATCTAGGCGGACTGACTGGAGAGCACACGGGAACCAATGACATGTTGATTGCCGATACGTGTGGCACCGACAAAGCTGCGTTTGTTCCCAGATTTGTGAACTTTGGTGCTTCAGAAATGGCCGGCGATGGCATAGCGACATGGAGCATCATTACAGCTGCCGGTGGTCAGTACAGACTCTGCTGGTGTGCTTCTATCACAGCTTGCGCTTCAGCATCTGAGTTCTCCACGGACATGGGCGGACTGCTCCTTCTGGGTCCGGCACCACTAAGGCAAGACAGGACGTGTGTCAGCGGCCTTTCCTGCGAGTTTGAAGGATTCCTTGGCAAGTACATCTCGAGCCAGGACCGTATCCTTCTGTCAGAGACCTGCGGTGATACCCATCTGCCGCCCTCATCACTGCCACCTGCTGAAGTTACTGCTTCGCCGACCGGAACTGCCGTGGTGAGCTGGGGGACTTCGCCGATTCTGGCTGCTGGCGGCTTCTATCGGCTTTGCTGGTGTTCCGGGCTTGTGGCACAATGTGAAGATCACTCGGAGTTTAGGACTGACGTGGGCATGCTGACAATGATCGGAGTCAATCCTTTACAGCAAGCCAGGACGTGCATCAGTGGATTGCCATGCACCCTGGAGGGAATCACAGGGACTTATGTTTCCGTCGCAAACTACTTTGCTGTGTTGCAAACCTGCGGTGTCGATGCTGGAGCCATCGAGGGATTCCCCGAAGCAGGTGTGACTGCACAGGTGAGCTCCAGTGGAGCACGAGTCTCTTGGGGACAGATGCCAGTCACATCTCCAGGTGGAGTCTATTCATTGTGCTGGTGTGCTGGGCTGCCTGGCGTGGGGTCGGCGGGACCTGTCTGTGGAACCTTGCCACAGAATGAAGGGCTCCCAATTTATCGCGACAAAGCATTGTGAGTCTGTGGGGAACTTTTCTGGGCGGGGTCTCGCGGCATTGCCGCGTCGGTGGTATGCAAGGGGTTGGAGAGATTCCGCTGACTGTTGTCGTCACTGCAAAGTCCTTCCCTAAAAACTAAACTCTAAATAGAATTGAATAGAACCAACTTTGCACTGCTCGCATTCTTCGCATGTACGAGCAATAAAGATGAGCACATCCTGAAAAGTATACATGGCAACGTAGGGGTGTACGGAGGGGCTAAAATTCCTGTTTACATCCGAGATCAAATGATAATGTTGGGTGCCCCGTGCGCTCCTGCACTTTGCTCCAAGGAACATCGTCGAGATTCCATTTGAGAGCTGGGACGTTGACAGTCATCGGCCCTGCGCCACTGGAACAGCATCGCACCTGTGTCAGCGGCCGGGTTTGTGCATTCGATGGACTTCTGGGGCAGCACTTGTCCGTCAACGACGTGATTCAGGTGCTCGAGACCTGCGGGGTGGACCCAGTTATTGAGCGTTTTCCTACTGCCGGCCAAGTGTCACGAGTCGATGCGAGTGGTGCAGCTGTCACCTGGGGCTCTGATCCAGTATCAGCCGCTGGAGGTCGATATCGCCTCTGCTGGTGCTCGACGAGTGAGTCTCAATGCAGTCTAGCCCGGGATTTTGCAACCGATTTTGGCGAATTGACGGTGATCGGGACGTCACCTATGCGTCAGGACCGCACATGCATGAGTGGACAGGCATGCTCCATAGAAGGACTTACTGGTAGCTTCTTGTCAGACGGTGATCTGTGGATGGCCATGGACACCTGCGGGCAGTCCAACTTCATTCCTCGCTTTTCTCACGCTGGAGTTCCGAGCCTCGTGGAGGCCAGTGGGTCTGCTGTTTCATGGGGTTCGGTCGCACCAACAGCAGCAGGAGGCCAATACAGGCTTTGTTGGTGCAGCGCCGGCTTGGCATGCGTCTCTCCAGATCGCTTCGTCGTGGATGCCGGTGGGCTCGTTCTTCTTGGAATGAGCCCACTCACACAGGACCGGACCTGCAGCAGTGGGCAGGCTTGTTTCCTCCGAGGCTTCCAGGGTCTTTTTGACAGCAGCTTGGAGCAAGGAGCAATCATGGCACTGGACACCTGCGGAATCGCAAGTGCGGTTCCTCGCTTTAGCCAGGCTGGTACTCTCTCGACGATCGTGGAAGATGCTGGTGTTACGTTTTGGACACAAGTAGCGCAGACTACGGCTGGTGGAGTATACAGGCTTTGCTGGTGTTCACCTGGCGGCCGTTGTGAACTGGCCAGCCAGTTTCAGGTGGACATGGGCAGTCTGGCAGTGTTGGGACCTGCGCCGCTGACGCAAGATCGAACGTGCATCACAGGACAAACATGCAAGCTATACGGCATTGGCGGACTTGGTCTGCCTGCTTCAGACAGGTTTGCTGTTCTGGATACGTGTGGAGAGGCCAGCTTGGTGGATCGGCTTCCGGCCAGTGGCATCTTAGCTGCACAACCGACACTTGCTGGCAGTCTCACTTTGTCCTTCGACGGCGATGTGATCACTGCTTCAGCCGGAAGCTACCGGTTGTGTTGGTGTTCCCCTTCAGCCACAAACCTTTGCAGCGGCTTTGAATCCTTTCGGACAGACTTTGGCAGTCTGACCGTTCTGGGCCCACGACCTCTTTACCAAGACCGCACTTGCGTCGCTGGACAGACGTGCTTTGTGAGCGGTGTTCTTGGGTCAGCCTTGGACTCTGCAGATGCCTTTGTAGTTCAGGACACATGTGGTCTTGCAGGTAGCGTGCTCGGGTTTCCTGCCTTTGGGACCCCTGTCATTGCTGGAAGTGGAGCTGGCATTGAGTGGGGTGTAGCCCCAGTCACGGCTGCCGGAGGTGTCTATAGACTCTGCTGGTGTTCAGGGCTTGCCGCCTCTGCTTGCTCATCTGCACGAGACTTCGAGGTAGACGTGGGAGCCTTGACTCTGGTCGGCATTGCCCCACTGGCCCAATCCAAGACATGCCTGTCTGGTGTGACCTGTGAGATCACGGGTCTTACAGGGCAGGGCCTAAGTGAGACAGACGAGTACTTGATACTGGAGACCTGTGGAGTCGCGTCAGGCCCCGCTCTCGCCTACACTGAAACTCTTGAAACTTTTGCGGCCCCTGTCGGCCGAGCGGTTTCAGCAAGATGGGTCAGTTCTCCACTTCAGCTGGCAGGCGGCGACTACAGGTTGTGCTGGTGCCCCGGCGAACACTTTTCTTGTGACACTGCAGACAGTTTTCGCGTCGACGCTGGTACACTCACCGTCATCGGGGTCGCCCCAATTGCCCAGCACCGGACTTGTGTGAGCGGGCGTACGTGCTTTTTGCAGGAGATTGCAGGATATGGTCTAAATGCCGGGGACGTCCTGTTTGCTGTTGAAACCTGTGGACAGGCAAGTGCTCTGGCCCGCTTCCCTTACGCTGGAAGGTCGGAGTTGCAACGCACCAGTGCAGGAACGACTTTCAGCTCGCTGGAACGCATCACTTCCGCCGGTGGTGTCTTTCGCCTTTGCTGGTGCCACGGTATGCCGAATTTTGGCACAGAGCATGTGCCGTCTTGTCTGACAAGCGAAGCTAAGGTTGACGTTGGGAGCCTGTTCATGGTCGGTGTATCTTTGTTTCAAGACCGAACCTGTGTCAGCGGAAGTACATGTGAGATTCCCAGCGTGTATGGGTACGGCCTGCAGGACACTGATCGTCTGTACGTCATGGATACATGTGGCGGCACGTCGATAATTTCTGGATTTGCTCAGGGACTGCGCAGTCTCAGCTCAGGGGACGCTGAATTCGCTTCCTTCAGCTGGGGAAGCACGCGAGTCACAGCGGCTGGCGGAATTTACCAGCTCTGCTGGTGCGGGTCCACGGACGGCGAAGGCTGCGACAGTGCTCAGAATGCCTTGGTCACGCTTGCGTCCTTGACCCTTGTTGGGGTGAACCCGCTGTCACAGGACCGAACGTGCGTCAGCGGCCAAACTTGCAGCATTTCAGGGCTGGGTGGTCAAGATCTGCCGAGTGTCGGAAGTGCGCTGCTGGTTCTGGAGACGTGTGGCTTGCCCTCGTTGCCACGCGGATTTGGTGCGGATGTATGGCCACTTGCCAGTGGATTGGGCGGGAGGCAAAGCTTCCAGAGCACAGCTCCGCTGACAGCGGCGGGGGGTGTTTACCGCCTCTGCTGGTGTCCAGGCATCCTTGTCTGCAAGGATCCTACAGACTTCAACATCGATACTGGAGGCTTGACGCTGATTGGCCCCGACCTCCTGCACCAGGAGGCCACGTGTGTCTCTGCCTCAGTCGTGCCTTTTGCCGAAGCAGTGCAGAAAGGGCCATCGTAGCCGTGCAGTCGTAGATGTTAGTCTGAAACACGGTGTCAAGGGTATTGAGCGAGTTGTCTTTGATCGTGCTTGTAAGACTTGGCCTCCGAATGCTTTTGCGCTCGCGTCTCGTCGTCAGCTCTCGGTTTTTTTGCTTCTTTTGTTGGATCCGTCCCGGCAGCCGTCAGCCGTCAGCAGCTACACGCTTGCAGCGGAGCGCAAGTGTCTTTGTGTCTGTTTCGGTTTCGAAGGTCAGCGGCCAGAGCTGCGTGGTCTCCAGTGGGAGCACGGCCACGGCATGTTCTGTTGCGGAGAGTGAGACTTGCGCTGCTTCCCAGGGCGACTTGGATCTGAAATTTATGAATCGCTGGTACACCTGTCGCGCCGGCGAGGGGCAGCGCACCCTATTGCACTCTAAGGTATCTGGGCAGCAGATGCTCTGGTGGCCATTCTCGACACCTGTGGAATGCCCTCTGTGGTACGAGGACTTCCAGTGGATGGCTTGCGGCATTCAGTGGAGGGCAACCTGATCCTCTTAGGCAGTGCAACACGTGTTTCAGCTGCAGGGGGCGTTTACCGCCTTTGCTGGTGCAACTTGGGCTGTCGTGTGGCGGAAGATTTTCGCACCGATTTCGGTTCGATACAAGTGCTGGGCCCAAGTCCGTTGGAACAGCACAGAACATGTATCTCCGGACAGACTTGCCAAGTCACAGACGTTGCAGTTCACTCCTACTTGGATGTGTCTCTGGGTGAAGTGATGATTCTGGAGACCTGCTCCGTGCCAAGCATCGTGCCACGATTTCCAGCCGATGGCATTTTAGTGTCTCTTCCGGCTGCTGCTGGCAGCAATTTCCGAAGCTTTTTGACGGACATTGTCTCTGCTGCTGGCGGAACTTACCACATGTGCTGGTGCGGCAACGTACCTTCGCTGTGTGCGGAACCGAGTGATTTTCATGTCGACTTCGGGATGCTCACCATCATTGGACCTTCTCCTTTGAACCAGCAACACACGTGCGTGAGTGGGCGTGGGTGTCAATTGAACGGATTGTCAGGAAAGCAGACAAGTTTGAGCGACGATATTTTGATTGCTGATACCTGTGCTTCCGAAAATGCCGTTGTTGTAATGCGGCCGACAGGTCTTGGATCACAGAATCAGGCTGGTGATGGAAGCATCGGCGTTTGGAACAGCGCAGCACTCACGGCTGCAGGGGGCCTCTACCGATTATGCTGGTGTTCACGGGAGGCCCCGAGATGCTCCCAGGCTTCGGACTTCGCTACAGACATGGGTGAGCTGCTTTTGATAGGTCCTTCCCCATTACAGCAGGACAGAACGTGTGTCAGCGGACAGTCGTGTGAGTTTGATGGTTTCCTCGGCATGCACATCTCGAGTCGGAACAGGATTCTTTTGGCAGACACTTGTGGAGAGTCTTCGGTGCCGTCTTCAATGCCTGTTGCTACAGTGAGCGCAGCTTCCGGATATGGTAGTGTGGTCAGCTTCACCGGTTCTGTGCACGTTTCAGGAGGCATCTACAGGCTCTGCTGGTGTTCCGGCGAGATGGGCGGTCGACCATGTTCTGGCCCCATTGATTTCGCCACCGACGTTGGTGCTTTGACCATGATCGGTGTGAGCCCCGTGCGGCAAGACCGGACGTGCATCAGCGGTGTCTCCTGCACTATTGACGGCATCGAGGGCACGCACATTTCAAGCAGTGACTCGTATCTGGTGATGGATACCTGTGGTATCCGCTCTGCAGCATTGTCTGGGTTCCCAGGAACCGGTGTTTCCCTGCAGTCGAGTGGAGGATTGATCTCTTGGGGCTTGGTTCCGATTACAGCTGTTGGAGGCAACTATGCTTTGTGCTGGTGTCCCGGAGCCTCGCTGATGGAGGAGACGTGTAGCACCTTGACCTCGTGTTTGCAATCACACATCTGTGCATCCTTAACTGGTAATGTGACCCATCCTGGTAGGGTGCTGCTGATCCATGCTCGCACGATAGCAGGCCTAATAAATCCGTATCTCGGCAGCTGCTTGCCTCTGAGGTACTCCTTCGAGTTTTCTTGTGGAAGCTGGGCGATTCTATGTCATTGGCCCCAAAATGCGTCAATCGAGGACATGCATAAGTGGAACGGAATGCCGCGTGGAAGGTCTTCTCGGAAGCTTTATCAGCGACGAAGACCACATCCTTGTTGCCGACACTTGCGGTGCGATGGATGGGCAATCTCCGACTGGGATTGTGAATGGTGGTTTCGCTAACCAAATAGCAGCTCAAGGAAGCATCGGCGTTTGGAACAGCGCAGCACTCACGGCTGCAGGGGGCCTCTACCGATTATGCTGGTGTTCACGGGAGGCCCCGAGATGCTCCCAGGCTTCGGACTTCGCTACAGACATGGGTGAACTGCTTTTGATAGGTCCTTCCCCATTACAGCAGGACAGAACGTGTGTCAGCGGACAGTCGTGTGAGTTTGATGGTTTCCTCGGCATGCACATCTCGAGTCGAAACAGGATTCTTTTGGCAGACACTTGTGGAGAGTCTTCGGTGCCGTCTTCAATGCCTGTTGCTACAGTGAGCGCAGCTTCAGGATATGGTAGTGTGGTCAGCTTCACCGATTCTGTGCTCGTTTCAGGAGGCATCTACAGGCTCTGCTGGTGTTCCGGCGAGATTGGCGGTCGACCATGTTCTGGCCCCATTGATTTCGCCACCGACGTTGGTGCTTTGACCATGATCGGTGTGAGCCCCGTGCGGCAAGACCGGACGTGCATCAGCGGTGTCTCCTGCACTATTGACGGCATCGAGGGCACGCACATTTCTAGCGGTGACTCGTATCTGGTGATGGACACCTGTCGTGTTGACTCCGCGGTGGTCGCGGGTTTTCCGATGCTCGGCGCCCAATTCGACGTCCTTACAGATGTAGTGTCATGGGGTGCCACGCGTATCACAGCTCCTGGGGGAAACTTTGCTCTTTGCTGGTGTCCTCGCCCCGCAACCCTGGGTCAAACAGATCAAGGCGATGCAGTCGCCGCATGTCGAACCTTGGCTTTGTGATGTTTTATGTGTTCATCGCTTTTTTTCTAAGCCCGTCCACGACAGAAGCCTGACACCACGCTGGCGCGAGGTACACATTCTCATGCAGCAGGCCGGTTCACGGTCATCGGCCCGGCGCCACTGGAACAGCATCGCACCTGTGTCAGCGGCCGGGTTTGTGCATTCGATGGACTTCTGGGGCAGCACTTGTCCGTCAACGACGTGATTCAGGTGCTCGAGACCTGCGGGGTGGACCCAGTTATTGAGCGTTTTCCAACTGCCGGCCAAGTGTCACGAGTCGATGCGAGTGGTGCAGCTGTCACCTGGGGCTCTGATCCAGTATCAGCCGCTGGAGGTCGATATCGCCTCTGCTGGTGCTCGACGAGTGAGTCTCAATGCAGTCTAGCCCGGGATTTTGCAACCGATTTTGGCGAATTGACGGTGATCGGGACGTCACCTATGCGTCAGGACCGCACATGCATGAGTGGACAGGCATGCTCCATAGAAGGACTTACTGGTAGCTTCTTGTCAGACGGTGATCTGTGGATGGCCATGGACACCTGCGGGCAGTCCAACTTCATTCCTCGCTTTTCTCACGCTGGAGTTCCGAGCCTCGTGGAGGCCAGTGGGTCTGCTGTTTCATGGGGTTCGGTCGCACCAACAGCAGCAGGAGGCCAATACAGGCTTTGTTGGTGCAGCGCCGGCTTGGCATGCGTCTCTCCAGATCGCTTCGTCGTGGATGCCGGTGGGCTCGTTCTTCTTGGAATGAGCCCACTCACACAGGACCGGACCTGCAGCAGTGGGCAGGCTTGTTTCCTCCGAGGCTTCCAGGGTCTTTTTGACAGCAGCTTGGAGCGAGGAGCAATCATGGCACTGGACACCTGCGGAATCGCCAGTGCGGTTCCTCGCTTTAGCCAGGCTGGTACTCTCTCGACGATCGTGGAAGATGCGGGTGTTACGTTTTGGACACAAGTAGCGCAGACTACGGCTGGTGGAGTATACAGGCTTTGCTGGTGTTCACCTGGCGGCCGTTGTGAGCTGGCCCGCCAGTTTCAGGTGGACATGGGCAGTCTGGCAGTGTTGGGACCTGCGCCGCTGACGCAAGATCGAACGTGCATCACAGGACAAACATGCAAGCTATACGGCATTGGCGGACTTGGTCTGCCTGCTTCAGACAGGTTTGCTGTTCTGGATACGTGTGGAGAGGCCAGCTTGGTGGATCGGCTTCCGGCCAGTGGCATCTTAGCTGCACAACCGACACTTGCTGGCAGTCTCACTTTGTCCTTCGACGGCGATGTGATCACCGCTTCAGCCGGAAGCCACCGGTTGTGTTGGTGTTCCCCTTCAGCCACAAACCTTTGCAGCGGCTTTGAATCCTTTCGGACAGACTTTGGCAGTCTTACCGTTCTGGGCCCACGACCTCTTTACCAAGACCGCACTTGCGTCGCTGGACAGACGTGCTTTGTGAGCGGTGTTCTTGGGTCAGCCTTGGACTCTGCAGATGCCTTTGTAGTTCAGGACACATGTGGTCTTGCAGGTAGCGTGCTCGGGTTTCCTGCCTTTGGGACCCCTGTCATTGCTGGAAGTGGAGCTGGCATTGAGTGGGGTGTAGCCCCAGTCACGGCTGCCGGAGGTGTCTATAGACTCTGCTGGTGTTCAGGGCTTGCCGCCTCTGCTTGCTCATCTGCACGAGACTTCGAGGTAGACGTGGGAGCCTTGACTCTGGTCGGCATTGCCCCACTGGCCCAATCCAAGACATGCCTGTCTGGTGTGACCTGTGAGATCACGGGTCTTACAGGGCAGGGCCTAAGTGAGACAGACGAGTACTTGATACTGGAGACCTGTGGAGTCGCGTCAGGCCCCGCTCTCGCCTACACTGAAACTCTTGAAACTTTTGCGGCCCCTGTCGGCCGAGCGGTTTCAGCAAGATGGGTCAGTTCTCCACTTCAGCTGGCAGGCGGCGACTACAGGTTGTGCTGGTGCCCCGGCGAACACTTTTCTTGTGACACTGCAGACAGTTTTCGCGTCGACGCTGGTACACTCACCGTCATCGGGGTCGCCCCAATTGCCCAGCACCGGACTTGTGTGAGCGGGCGTACGTGCTTCCTGCAGGAGATTGCAGGATATGGTCTAAATGCCGGGGACGTCCTGTTTGCTGTTGAAACCTGTGGACAGGCAAGTGCTCTGGCCCGCTTCCCTTACGCTGGAAGGTCGGAGTTGCAACGCACCAGTGCGGGAACGACTTTCAGCTCGCTGCAACGCATCACTTCCGCCGGTGGTGTCTTTCGCCTTTGCTGGTGCCACAGTATGCCAGATCAAGCGTTCCTTCCACAATGTGTCGGATCAGCTGACGCCAAGGTTGATGCCGGAAGCTTGTATGTTATCGGTGCCAACCCATTATCTCAGGACCGCACCTGCGTCAGCGGCCTGACTTGCAGAATAGCTGGAATTGAGGGTCAGGGCTTCCGGGAGGCTGACCGGTTGTTCGTCATGGACACTTGCAGTGTTTCCTCAGCAGCTGTTTGCGGCTTCACAAACGGGGCATCCAGTTTTCTGGAGAACAACGACGCTGCCTTCAGCTGGGGAAGCACGCGAGTCACAGCGGCTGGCGGAATTTACCAGCTCTGCTGGTGCGGGTCCACGGACGGCGAAGGCTGCGACAGTGCTCAAAATGCCTTGGTCACGCTTGGGTCCTTGACCCTTGTTGGGGTGAACCCGCTGTCACAGGACCGAACGTGCGTCAGCGGCCAAACTTGCAGCATTTCAGGGCTGGGTGGTCAAGATCTGCCGAGTGTCGGAAGTGCGCTGCTGGTTCTGGAGACGTGTGGCTTGCCCTCGTTGCCACGCGGATTTGGTGCGGATGTATGGCCACTTGCCAGTGGATTGGGCGGGAGGCAAAGCTTCCAGAGCACAGCTCCGCTGACAGCGGCGGGGGGTGTTTACCGCCTCTGCTGGTGTCCAGGCATCCTTGTCTGCAAGGATCCTACAGACTTCAACATCGATGCTGGGGGCTTGACGCTGATTGGTCCCGACCTCCTGCACCAGGAGGCCACGTGTGTCCATGCCTCGGATAAGTCGTGCACTTTCTCAAGCGAGCATTCGAGGATCAATCCTTGCGCTCTCAGGTCAGTGGCCAGCCTTGCAAGGTTCTGGCTCAGGGACTTGAGCCGACAGACCAGCTGATGGTCATGCAGACCTGTGGTGGCACCGTCATGGACGTTCGAGAAGCAATGCAGGCAAGTGGGGAGAGGTCCGTAGAACGAGGTTTTGGCAGAGGTACACAGAGGTAGAGACTGTCAGTTTTTACGCTCTTTGCAGGAACGTAGCTCAGATGGGCTCGCAGTAAGCAATTTCACAGATGTGGGAACATCAAGGGAAATCTGTTCAGGTTGATGCCTCTGCTTTCCATCCACACTGGGAGCTGTCGAGATTTCTTGCAGGAGGCAGGTATCGCCTTTGCTGGTGTGCTGCTGGCTTCAGTTGTGGAGTTGAGGATTTCCGAGTTGATATTGGTTCTCTGGATATGTTGGGTCCCGCACCACTTTACCAACACCGGACATGCACCACAGGGCAGTTGTGCTCCTTTGAAACACTGCTCGGATACCACGTTGAAGCATCAGACTTGACGGCTGTCCTTTCGACTTGCGGCGATGCATCTGTGCCGATCCGGCTGCCGAGCAGTGGTCGTCTGCAAACCACCCTGGCTGGGCAGGATTCTTGGGACGGCCCAGTGATTTCTGCAAGTGGCGGACGATATCGTTTGTGCTGGTGTGCGGCCAGTTCATTTTCTTGTAGCAGGCTTGAGAACTATGTCCTCGACGCAGGGGAGCTCTTCTTGATCGGACCCAGTCCTCTGGAGCAGCATCGGACCTGCGTGACTGGGCAAGGGTGTGCACTGCACGACATCGCCAACATCGAGTTCCTTCCATTCGACACGTCGTCCATCATGATTCTGGACACCTGTGGCGTAGCCCACTGGCCACAAGAATCAACTCCCTCGGGACGATTTGCTGTCGTGAGTGCCAGCGGGACGCCGATGAACTGGGACGCTAATTTGGTCATGCCAGCGGGACAGTACCGTATGTGCTGGTGTTCCAGTCCAGGTCACAGCTGTAGTGTCATGGAAAGCTTCAAGGTGGACATGGGAGAATTGATGATGCTAGGGCCAGGGCCCCTCGAGCAATCGGCTACCTGCATCTCGGGACATGTCTGCAGCCTGACCATGTCAGGGCTGGGGCTCAGCGTTCGGGATCAGGTCATCGTCCTTGCCACGTGCTCCAACTCTGATCCGGTGGCTGGCTTTCTTGATGGCGGACTTTCTTCCCGCATCCAGAGCGGGGGCAGCAACACAAAGGGGGATGAAGGCACGTGGGCCTACGTGAACTGGGGTCAACCTCAATCCGGAGTGCGCATCAGTCCCGCCCTCAAGACGAGTAAGATAGGCTAACATACAGTAGTTGAAGATTTCAGTTGCTGCGAGTTTGTGCTTGCAGATACGGCCGCCCAGGTTCCCTTGGCGGCCAGTACAGGCTGTGTTGGTGTCCTGACGACTTGGACTCCGCGCGCTGTGCCGAGACATCTGTGCGTCGATTGGACTTCGGGTCTCTGACCGTGATTGGGCCGGAGCTCTCACGGGAGACGGGGGACACGATTAGGCGCACATGTGTGAGCGGTCAGACGTGTGAGATTGACGGTATCTATGGCACATATATGCAGTCTGCAGACCGAATTATGATGATGCAAACGTGCGGGTTTCCGCGGAGTTACCACCAAGCCTGGGATGGTTTAGGCACGTTGACCGTAGCTCCAGCGCTTCAGGGAGGAGGTGCAACTGTTTCTTTTCCAGCATTTCGTGGGCCTGGGGGTCAGTATCGTCTATGCTGGTGTGGTTCTCCGGGAGCTTGCCACACGCACTCGGATTTCAAGGTCGACTTCGCTGCGCTGCTGGTCATAGGCCCGACGCCTCTAGCCCAAGACAGGACGTGTATAGCCGGAACTACGTGTCTCATGGAAAGCTTTGTCGGAGTGGACCTTTCTGCAGATGATGATGTGTGGGTGCTGGAGACTTGTGGCCAGCTCGGCGAACGTGAGTCTCTGGTAGATGTCGCTGGCTTGCAGCGCAGCAACTCGCTCCTCTTGCTTGCTGGGGGCCAGTACCGCCTATGCTGGTGTCACGCCTCACTATTCGGTTGCTCCTTGCCTTCTGACTTCCGCGTTGACGTAGGAAGACTTGATGTGGCTGGCCTGGCTCCACTTCGCCAGGATCGGACCTGCGTCAGCGGCCGGTTTTGTAACATCGATGGTCTGGCAGGACATCTAAGTATTGCAGGGCACGTGCAGGTTCTCGACTCCTGTAGTAGCTTCCATCCAGGTGAGGCTTTGGGAGAGCCCGTGCAGATATCCGATTTGACGCTTACATGGATCGCTCCACTGACTTTTGCTGGAGGTGAATACAGGCTCTGTTGGTGCCCAGACCCTCAACAATCGGCCGCGAATCGAAGCTCCATCTGTACCGTCCCACAAGATTTCAGCGTCGACTTCGGGAAATTCACGCTGCTGGGGCCAGGCCCATTGCAACAAGACAGGACATGCATTAGTGGTGAGACTTGTCGTATATCTGGACTGCTGGGTCAGCTTTCTGATGCGGACAGGATCGTAGTGATGGAGACATGTGCTGAAAGCGTTGGTCGAACATCTCCCGATCTTCTGTACAGCGCGCTGGCCGTATCAACTGGGGCAACAGCCATGGCCGACATGATGCTCACTTACGCAGGGGGCCAATACCGACTATGCTGGTGTGTCGAGCACGGATCGGGTTCATGTGACAACATTGCTGACTTCACCACGGATTTCGGGGGGCTCCAGCTGCTGGGGCCCCGGCCACTTTTGCAACATCGCACCTGCGTGAGCGGCTCCAGATGCAATCTTCGTAGCTTCGAAGGCGTCGGACTGTCAGTCGGAGATCAGCTGCTTGTGATGGATACATGCGTCGTTGGCGAGGTTCTGCCGCAATTTCCTGCAGGCATAGTGCAACAGGTGAGTGCATCGGGAGCCCAAATGTCATGGGATCCGGCAGCTGTGACTTCAAGAGGCGGAGTGTACCGCTTGTGCTGGAAAGCAGGTTCTCCCAGAGTTGCAAACCTTTCTGCTCTCAATGCCCCGTGGCCACCGGGAATCGTGGCTTCCGACTTCCAAGTGGATATTGGAAGTTTGACAATCGTCGGAGTAAGCCTTTTCGAGCAAGACCGCACATGTGTGAGCGGTCGGACTTGCCAAATTGATGGTGTTCGGGGACTTCATCTTTCAGAGTCGGACCGGGTCCTGGTGCTTGACACGTGTTCGGCAGGAACCTTGGCACCTGGATGGCCAGAAGCCGGCTACGCTGTGGAAGTGTCGGCGAGTGGAGCGATTGTCTCATGGGGTGCAGAGATGGTTTCTGGCTCAGGTGGAGCGTATCGCATGTGCTGGTGCTCTGGCTCTGCGAATGAGAACGGAACTTCGTGGAGTGGTTCGGCTTGTGGCCACAGCTCAGGAGGTACCATTGGCTTAGTAGACATGGGAAGAATGCTTCTCATCGGGCCAAGCCCTTTGCGACAGCATCGTACATGCGTCTCAGGACGAGCATGCGCAGTAGATGGACTTGTGGGTCATAGTTTGTCTGCATCCAGCCAATATTTGGTGACTGACACATGTGGCCTAGCTGGTGCCATAAACCGTTTTCCGGGCTTTGGTGCAGCGACAACGGTGCTCGGAAGTGGCTCCTCTGTTTCCTGGGGCCCAGAACTGATCACCGCATCTGGGGGCATCTACCGGCTGTGCTGGTGCGAGAAAGTGTCAGGAAGTGGAGACTGTTTGTTCGCCGGCCAGTTTCAAGTCGATATTGGGGAAATGCAGCTTCTGGGACCCACCCCTCAGGACCAGAAGGGAACTTGCGTGAGTGGACACACATGCGTTCTGACTGGCATAGAAGGGCTCCACTTACGGACAGGAGACAGGGCCTTGATTCTGGATACATGTTCGCATGCTCTGCAGCCTCCGCGCATGCCAGACCCTGGCTACTTGAGTTACGAGGCTGTGGCTCAGAACTTCTCAACATGGAGGAGGGTGCTCAGCTGGAGCAGAATTTCATCTGCTGGCTCGGAGTACCGACTCTGCTGGTGTTCGATTTCAGGTCCTGAAACCTGCAGGGAGTCGGTAGACTTTGGCAGCCTGGAGCTTGTCGGGCCAAATCCGCTTCAGCAGCACCGTACCTGTGTCGCCGGTCAGACATGCACACTTGGCCGCATAACCGGAGCACATTTGTCCCTGACTCATGATCGCCTTCTGGTTATGGAGACCTGCGGCACCTACAGCAGCTTGCGTGGCTTTCCCGATGCTGGTGTGGCTCGCCTGTCTGGAGCCGACGTAGCATTCAATGGCTCTGCAGAGGTCCAGGTCGAAGCCTTGGAAGTGAAGTGGACGACGCCAGTCTCGAGTGCTGGAGGTCAGTATCGCCTGTGCTGGTGTTCCACTCTTTCCGATGAGAGCTGTGTGAATTTGCCAAGCACGCAGACGGACATTGGTGAACTGACTCTGATTGGCTTCGCGCCACTGGCACAGGACAGAACGTGTGTAAGCGGCCAGACATGCAAGTTCTTGGATATGGAAGGTCTGCACCTTCCCAACAACAGCCGCCTTCTTGTCCTTGAGACTTGCGGGAAGCCGGCTCTCGTGGAGTCCTTTCCAACAGTGGCACTTCTACTGAATTCCACGACACATGACCTAGAAGTTCATTTCGACAGGGTACTTACGGCAGCGGGCGGCGACTATCGGATGTGCTGGTGTGCGGGTGCTTCATTTCACTGCGAATCTGCAGAGGATTTCGGAGTCGATGTGGGGCGGCTGCATGTTGTTGGTGTAAGTCCAATGCTTCAAAGTCGGACATGTGTCAGTGGACAGACGTGTGAATTTGGGAACATTATGGGCACATCCCTGAACAGAGACGATCTGCTGGCCGTTCTGGACACTTGTGGCATCCAGGGTGTGCTTCCCAGATTTCCAACATTTGCGCAGGTTAGCCTGCTGCATGGTGAGTCGGCTACCTTCTCCTTCGGCATCAGTCCAGTCACTGCTGCTGGAGGCAATTACCAGCTGTGCTGGTGTGCAGCGAAGCACCAAGCTTGTGGAACTGCGGACAGCTTCAGGGTCCAGGTGGGTGATTTGCTGGTGTTGGGCCCATATCCTCTGTCACAGATTCGGACCTGCGTGAGTGGCCAGAGCTGTCTGGTGGATCCTGTCATTGGTTCCTTCGTTTCCAGCTTTCGCCTCAGATTTGTAGCAGGTTTTACCGGCTCGTCTAGGCCTTTAGCAAAGGGCTCCTTGCATAGTCAGTGTTCGTGATAGTAAGATCGGTGCAGTCCTGGCCCTGACTGAGGCAGTGATGTTGTCTTGGTGCTGGACACCTGCGGCAACAGTCAAAGCTCTGAGGACGACCGCCTGCTGCTCCAGACCTGGACCGGCAACAGATCAACAACGCTCTGGGGCGACGGGACGCCAGTAGTCATGACTGGCGGGCAGTATCGTTTGTGCTGGTGTGCGGTGCTTTCAGGAGTGCAGGACACCAATGTTTCCAATTCGAGCTCAAGACCTGAGTGTGCTGCTGCTTCGCAATTCGTGGTGGATACTGGTGAGCTTGTGGTCGTCGGAGTTGCGCCAATGCGTGCGCAGCACCGCACGTGCGTGGCTGGACTCCCATGCTCTGTGGCTGGAATTACAGGATTGCATTTGTCCAGTGATGATCGCGTGCTGGTGATGGAGACATGCGGAACAGCCCGAGTGGACGGCTTCCCTGACTTCCAGGAAGTCACGACGACCGAGGGCTGGCTCGCGGTAAGCTGGGGTACGGCAACCATCAGCGCACCATCTGGGCAATATCGCCTCTGCTGGTGCTCTAGTTTAGAGATGTGGCCACTGGCAAATGCCTCATCCGTCTCATGCAGCCTGCTTGCCTCCTTTCGGGTTGATATTGGCGAGCTCATGCTGACTGGTCCAGGCCCATTGGCACAGGATCGGACCTGCATCAGCGGGCGGACGTGTGCATTCGATGGAATCTCCGGCATTGGCTTTCGCGGAAACGAACGATACCTCGTCCTTGACACTTGTGCGATCGACACTTACTTGCATGGCTTCCCGACAGCGGGATTTGCAGAGAACTGGACCGTAGATGGCCGGATTGAATGGGGCGATGAGATAGTGACTGCAAGTGGTGGCAGCTACCGGCTGTGTGCATGTATGAAGGGCACAGCAGACTGCAACTTTGCACAAGAGTATGTCTTGGACGTCGGTGAGCTGCTCTTAATTGGACCCGAACTCTTTCAAGATCGGACCTGCATTTCTGGCCAGGCGTGCGAACTGCTTGCCATTTACGGACATTCCTTGTCAGCAGAGGATTCTGTGGCAGTGCTTGATACATGTGGAACCCACGCTCTGCCTGAGCGGTTTCCAGTGGATGCCTTGGTCACTTTCCAGGCAGCTGACAGCCTGCTGTCTGTGAACTGGCAGGACGTGCAAGTCACGAGCTTGGGGGGCCAGTACCGCTTGTGCTGGTGTGGCGGTAGCAGTTTGCAGAACTCCTCGGCTGTTGATGTGACGGCTCAGGGCCCATGCCAGACCTTGGAGGGATTCCGAACGGATTTCGGCCAACTCTCCATCATTGGACCATCGCCATCTCTGCAGGATCGAACCTGTGTGTCGGGTCAGTCTTGCATATTCGATGCACCTGCCGGTATGTACTTGTCATCAACGGATGCTTTCCGTGTGTTGGCTACCTGTGGCATCGAAGACTTCACACCAGGATTGCCTGAATCACACTTGCAGATGGTTCTTCAAAGGGGAGCCAGGTCCCTGACTTTGGGCGCTGAGCCTGTGACGGCCTATGGTGGACAGTATCGGATCTGTTGGTGTTCGGACAGGTATCCATGCAGCGGCGCCGAACAGTTTGGCCTCGATGTCGGCGAACTCCTCTTGATTGGCCCAAGACCACTCGTGCAGCAGCGAACATGTGAAGCCCTGCCCTGCACGGTGAGTGGGTTCAGTGGCCTCCACCTCACCTCCATGGACTCGGTAGCAATTCTCGACACCTGCAGAGAGCCAACCACAAGCCAGGATGCATCTCTTGGGTTCTTGGCGATGGCACTAAGTGTCGGAGCATCTGGCAGGGGCTCTGCTCCGCTTGAAGGAAGTGTCAGAATCCACCAGCAAGTTGTGGGCGGAACATACCGTCTGTGCTGGTGTGCAGGTTCCTATGTCTGCTCCTTATTCGAAGATTTTCGGGTGGATGTCGGCAGCGTGTCCTTCGTTGGTCTAGGTGCTGGGCAGCACAGAACATGTGTCAGTGGCCAGACATGTACCTGGTCGGGCGTGGATTTCTGGCTAGAGTCAGCAACCGATGGCCGGCTGGTTGTGCTGGACACGTGTAGCACAGGTGCAAGCCGTGCACCACTTCCAAATGGCGCTGTGGTGCCGGAGTGGGGCTTCGAATCCACCTTTGATGCATGGGCAGGTGCAGAGCGTGTGACGATGTGGGCCTCATGGGGCAGTCAAAGGTTGTCTGGAGCGGGTGGGGAGTACCGTGCATGCTGGTGTGATTGGGATTGCCCGGATGGCGACGGCAAGCTGTTCATGGACGTGGCTTCCATCAGCATTGTGGGTCCAGACCCGCTTTGGCAGCACAGGAACGTCCAGGTTTCGGGGTGTCTTCGGGCCAGTCGCGTTGTCCTTGTGGGGCTCGGAGCTTGATAAAGCCTGCCGAAATGCCCACATTGTCATTCGCAGGACCTGTGTTCAAGGCCAGCCTTGCCTCCCGAGCATTTCTGGCCGCGACCTTTCGGACGACGATCGCAACTTGGCAGTTATTGTAACGCAAGGGTTTGTTTTGACGCACACACATGTCCAGCCCTACCGGCTCCTCAGAGCCACTCGTGACTGTGATATACACTGGGCAGGTTCATGCTGTAATCGGAGCGGAGTGCAGTGCTTTCCACTGAGGATACATGGTCTTGGACACCTGTGGAGATCAGTCCAAGTTGTCCACCTCAAGCATGACTGGGAAGCTGCTGTCGCGGAACGAGGATGCCCTCACTGTGGGTGGTGGAGAATACCGCCTGTGCTGGTGTGCTGCCGGCTTTCCGTGTCTTGGGGCTTCTGACTTCCTGGTTGATGTTGGCACCTTGACTGTCATTGGCATCAGCTGCGAAGAGTCGCAGTGCCACCCTGATCGCACATGCGTGAGTGGCCAGCCCTGTACGATCGATGGCATTGCCGGACTTCACTTGACAAAGGATGACAGACTAGCCGTACTCGATACCTGCGGGGACCAGATGCCGCCGCACTTATTGGGCCACTTGGCCGATGCTCCTTACAATATCCGCTCGGTGGCATGGGATACCGATTACCTGATTGCATCTGGTGGTGTCTACCAGCTCTGCTGGTGTGCTGGCACATTTGGATGCTCGCTTACCGAGGAGTTTCGGGTCGAAGCAGGTGCGCTAACAATCATCGGCCCTGCTCCCATGGAGCAGCACCGGACATGTGTGAGTGGGCAGAACTGCGTCATTGAAGGCTTCGATGTCCTCTTTCCGACGACTTCAGACTCCCTGATCGTGCTGCAGACGTGCGGCGAGGCCTTATCTGAGGAGGAACCTTCCATGAGCCATGTCGTTGCTACGCTGGGGGCCAGTGGGTCCAGGGTCGACTTCGGTGACGCCTTCTTCACGGCCTCGGGTGGCGAGTATAGGCTTTGCTGGTGCTCGGGCAACTTCGGCTGCAACCTGCCAAGTGACTTTCGAGTGCAGCTCGGGTTGCTCAAGATCGTTGGCCTAGCGCCGCTCAACCAAGACAGGACTTGCATTAGTGGTCAGACCTGTGTAGTTCATGGACTCACGGGTGAGGGCCTGTCTACCTCTGCCCGAGTCATGGTGCTGAATTCTTGCGGGACAGCAGATCTGGTCTCCGGTCTGGTCCTAAACGGGGTCGCCGAAGCCGTGGAAGACCAGGGCGCTACCATGACTTGGGGCAGCGCGTCATTTACAGCTCCTGGAGGCAAGTATAGGCTGTGCTGGTGCCAAGAATATACGAACAGCAGTGATTGGACAGACCGATGCCGGACGCCCATCAGTTTTGCACAAGACGCAGGTGTCATGACGATCGTGGGCATTGCACCACTGCGCCAAGACTACACTTGCAATGTCGGCAGCATCTGTTCTTTGCGAGGCATTTCTGGTGAAGGTCTGCTGGCAGAAGACAGCCTTCTGGTCTTGGACACATGTGCACGTGGAACTCCTCCCGCAGGTTTTCCAATCGCACTGGATAACACGAGCCTTCCCACGAGACGAATGACCGGAACAAAATTCAACATCCAGTGGGATTCGGCAGCTGTCACTGCTGGAGGTGGTGTTTATCGGCTCTGCTGGTGCTCTTACTTCGCGCAGTGTAGCACAGCTGAATCATTCCGAGTTGACATGGGCGCACTGACGTTGGCGGGACCAAGCCCCATACAACAGACCCACACCTGCGTCTCTGGCCGCATCTGTGCTCTGCCACAGGTCTCTGTGGTTCCTTCGGACTTGGACGCTGGCGAGGTGGCAGTTCTCAGCTCTTGCAGTTTCTTTACCTCCTGGGCTCCACCTGGCTTTGCAGACCGGGGACAGCTGTTGAGCGCCCCGACCCTGCCAATGACCGCACCTGGTGGTCACTACACTCTGTGCTGGAACCCGGCGCGAAACAATGCTAATCGAACTGTAGATGCTGACATCGGGGAGTTCCAGACGCGGCCGGAGCCTCAATAAGCTTTTTTGCACCGTGCCGATGTTCAGGAGTGTAGCTGTGTGTGGCCATTACCAAGGCTTGGCACCCTTGTCGTGCTGGGCCCCACTCCCCTGACGCAGGACCGCACCTGTGTTGGCGGGCATGCGTGCTCCTTGGCAGGTCTGCAAGGGGAAGGTTTGACTCTGTCGGATGAAATCCGCATCATGGACACCTGTGGCTTGGACAGGGTCATTCCGCGGTCCCCAAGATCTGGTCACTTCACAATGGTCTCGAGAAGTGGTGCCGCTGTCACTTGGGGCGCACAGGAAATCACAGCCGCGGGGGGAATTTACAGACTGTGCTGGTGGTCCGGTTTCCCAAGCACTGCTTTAAATTCCACGGTGGTGTCGGATCCTGACACTCCGGGTGAAGAGTTTGTCGTGGATCTAGGTAAGCTGGAAATTATCGGACCAGCACCCCTGCAGCAGGACAGAACCTGTGTGAGTGGACAGACTTGCCACCTGGTCGAAGTGGAGGGTTTGGGCCTGACAAGCCTCAACAAGTGGATGGTCCTCGACACTTGTGGTACTGGACCCCAGACACGAGGCATAGGTCCTGATTTGGTTGCTGCCAGTGGCTTGCAGTGGATATGGAAAGATCCATTCAGCGCTGCTGGAGGCGAATATCGCCTGTGCTGGTGTGCCAGTCTGCCACAGTCAGGCAATTTCTTGAGCGAGTCCAACCAGAGCAACGCAACGAATCTGACCCTGACACAGGATGTCATGGCTAGCAATCGGACGGATGCATTGGACTGCCTTCTACCTGAAGAATTCTCTGTTGATGTGGGCAAGTTTTCGGTGATTGGAGTTGCTCCGTTGGAGCAGCATCGAACCTGCGTCAGTGGACAGAGCTGCCGCTTCTCGGGCATCTCACTCATGAACACACCGGATGCTCCAGGAAGCTACATGGTGCCTCACACAGCAGGAAGGGGTTCGCTCTGCGTTTCAATTCGTACCGTCGGGCTCCTGTTCTCATTCAGGGCGCTGGAGCTGGGAGGAATGTTCCTAGCTGTTGATGCATGTTGAAGGCAGATATGTCGTGGCTTCGTGATTCTCATAGGGATGCCCCGAAACGACAGCCCTCGCGAGGATGCGGAGGCCTTAGTTTCTAATTGGTCCCTAAGAGGCCCGACTGGGACGACGAGTGGACACGTTTCTCATTTTTCGGACATGTCTTTGTGCCAATCCTCGGGGAGTAGCACCATTTCAGGATTTGTGCTTTCACGATCGCGGACCTGTACTGTGTTTATACGTCATTTATGTCATATCAGTTCCGCATCCTCATGGCGATGCAGACGAGAGATCTTGTTTTCAGGACTCCGACAGCATCTCCCTGAATCGTGACCATTCTTTTGCATTCGGACTCGAGGGTTCTGTCAGGTCGTCATGGCATGTGCTTCTTCCGTTGTTGCCTGTGGATGTGAGCCTCTCGGGCATCTTTGCAAGGATTGCGGTATCCAGAAGACTTAGCTGTCGCTTGCAGCGCTGGGGCAGAATGGATCGGCACGGAAGGAGTTTTGAAATGAGGGGATAGGCATCAAAAAAATAAATTTGGATCAAAAAAAATTAAATTTGGATCAAAAAAATTAAATTTGGATCAAAAAAAATAAATTTGGATCAAAAAAATTAATTTAGCCGAAAGCACGACAGGAAGGAAGGAAGGAAGGAAGAAAGGAAGGAAGGAAGGAGGAAGAAAGGAAGAAAGGAAGGAAGGAAGGAAGGAAGGAGGGAAGCACTAAAGGGAGGAGGGACGGAACAAAGGAGGGAAGGAGGAAAGAAGGAAGGAAGGAGAGAAGGTAGGAAAGAGAAAAGCAGAAAGGAAGGAAGGAAGGAAGGAAGGAAAAAAGCAAGGAAGCAGCGAAGAAAGAAAGAAAGAAAAGCAACAGGGAATGAAAGGAAATGGACGGAAAGGAAGGTGATCACCCACGCGCCATTTAACTGCAAACTGCCCGCTTTCTTGAGTTGTCGAGCCACATGAAATCGCTTTAGGGGGGGTAAACCGAGCAAAACAAAGTTGATGTTGGTCTGCGCCGCCCCCCAACCCCCCCTGTTTTCTTCTCACGAATGAAACGTCTTCACCGACAGGCAAAAGGGCGAAAGCCAGACGTGCTCGCTTTGGGAGGGCAAGACCAAGAAAACAAAGTAAAACGAAAACGTGCATCTCTTTGGATAACGGAGAGAGGGAGAGCCACATGAAATTGCTTTAGGGGGGCAAAAGCGAGCAAAGCAAAGCTCATGTTGGAAGGTTTGCAAATTGGGGGGGGGCTGCACCCCCCCCAACCCCCCCGCTTTTTTAAGTGCACACCGCCCGTTCTCTTGAGTTGTCGAACCACATGAAATCGCTCTACGGGGGTAAAAGCGAGCAAAGCAAATCTCATGTTGGAAGCTTTGCAAATGTGGGGGAATGCGCCCCCCAACCCCCCCTGTTCTTTAACTGCAAACTGCCCGCTTTCTTAAGTTGTCGAGCCACATGAAATCGCTTTAGGGGGGTATAAGCGAGCAAACCAAAGTTCATGTTGGAAGGTTTGCAACTGGGGGGAGCTGCGCCCCCCCCCCAACCCCCCCCGTTTTTTAACTTCAAACTGCCCGCTTTCTTAAGCTGTCGATGAAACGAAGGAAAGACGTTTTTTCTAAACACACAACAAGGACAAAGCCACACGAAAACATTTCAGGGGATTTAAAATTCCAAGAATATAAGATTTCTCATGAATGAAACGTCTTGACCGACACCTTTTGGCGAAAGCCAGATGTATTCGCTTTGGGAAGCCAAGAGCAAGAAACAAGAAAACAAAGGTAAAACGACAACGTGAGTCTCTCTGGAAAACGAAGAGAGGGAGAAGCCACATGAACTGCCCGCTTTCTTAACTTGTCGAGACACATGACATCGCTTTAGGGGGGCAAAAGCGAGCAAAGCAAAGCTCATGTTGGAAGGTTTGCAAATTGGGGGGGTCTGCGCCGCCCCCCCAACCCCCCCGTTTTCTTCTCACGAGTGAAACGTCTTCACCGACAGGCAAAATGGCGAAAGCCAGACGTGCTCGCTGTGGGAGGGCAAGACCAAGAAAACAAAGTAAAACGAAAACGTGCATCTCTTTGGATAACGGAGAGAGGGAGAGCCACATGAAATTGCTTTAGGGGGGCAAAAGCGAGCAAAGCAAAGCTCATGTTGGAAGGTTTGCAAATTGGGGGGGGGCTGCACCCCCCCCAACCCCCCCGCTTTTTTAAGTGCACACCGCCCGTTCTCTTGAGTTGTCGAACCACATGAAATCGCTCTACGGGGGTAAAAGCGAGCAAAGCAAATCTCATGTTGGAAGCTTTGCAAATGTGGGGGAATGCGCCCCCCAACCCCCCCTGTTCTTTAACTGCAAACTGCCCGCTTTCTTAAGTTGTCGAGCCACATGAAATCGCTTTAGGGGGGTATAAGCGAGCAAACCAAAGTTCATGTTGGAAGGTTTGCAACTGGGGGGAGCTGCGCCCCCCCCCCAACCCCCCCCGTTTTTTAACTTCAAACTGCCCGCTTTCTTAAGCTGTCGATGAAACGAAGGAAAGACGTTTTTTCTAAACACACAACAAGGACAAAGCCACACGAAAACATTTCAGGGGATTTAAAATTCCAAGAATATAAGATTTCTCATGAATGAAACGTCTTGACCGACACCTTTTGGCGAAAGCCAGATGTATTCGCTTTGGGAAGCCAAGAGCAAGAAACAAGAAAACAAAGGTAAAACGACAACGTGAGTCTCTCTGGAAAACGAAGAGAGGGAGAAGCCACATGAACTGCCCGCTTTCTTAACTTGTCGAGACACATGACATCGCTTTAGGGGGGCAAAAGCGAGCAAAGCAAAGCTCATGTTGGAAGGTTTGCAAATTGGGGGGGTCTGCGCCGCCCCCCCAACCCCCCCGTTTTCTTCTCACGAGTGAAACGTCTTCACCGACAGGCAAAATGGCGAAAGCCAGACGTGCTCGCTGTGGGAGGGCAAGACCAAGAAAACAAAGTAAAACGAAAACGTGCATCTCTTTGGATAACGGAGAGAGGGAGAGCCACATGAAATTGCTTCAGGGGGTAAAAACGAGCAAAGCAAAGCTCATGTTGAAAGGTTTGCATCTGGGGGGCTGCGCCCCCCCCAACCCCCCCGCTTTTTTAACTGCAAACTGCCCGTTTTCTTAAGTTGTCGAGCCACATGAAATCGCTTTAGGGGGTATAAGCGAGCAAACCAAAGTTCATGTTGGAAGGTTTGCAACTGGGGGGAGCTGCGCCCCCCCCCCCAACCCCCCCCGTTTTTTAACTTCAAACTGCCCGCTTTCTTAAGCTGTCGATGAAACGAAGGAAAGACGTTTTTTCTAAACGCACAACAAGGACAAAGCCACACGAAAACACTTCACGGGATTTAAAGTTCCAAGAATATAAGATTTCTCATGAATGAAACGTCTTGACCGACAGGCAAAAGGGCGAAAGCCAGATGTATTCGCTTTGGGAAGCCAAGAGCAAGAAACAAGAAAACAAAGGTAAAACGACAACGTGAGTCTTTCTAGAAAACGAAGAGAGGGAGAAGCCACATGAACTGCCCGCTTTCTTAACTTGTCGAGACACATGACATCGCTTTAGGGGGGCAAAAGCGAGCAAAGCAAAGCTCATGTTGGAAGGTTTGCAAATTGGGGGGGTCTGCGCCGCCCCCCCAACCCCCCCGTTTTCTTCTCACGAGTGAAACGTCTTCACCGACAGGCAAAATGGCGAAAGCCAGACGTGCTCGCTGTGGGAGGGCAAGACCAAGAAAACAAAGTAAAACGAAAACGTGCATCTCTTTGGATAACGGAGAGAGGGAGAGCCACATGAAATTGCTTTCGGGGGTAAAAACGAGCAAAGCAAAGCTCATGTTGAAAGGTTTGCATCTGGGAGGCTGCGCCCCCCCCAACCCCCCCGCTTTTTTAACTGCAAACCGCCCGTTTTCTTAAGTTGTCGAGCCACATGAAATCGCTTTACGGGGGTAAAAGCGAGCAAAGCAAAGCTCATGTTGGAAGATTTGCAAATGTGGGGGACTGGGCCCCCCAACCCCCCCTGTTCTTTAACTGCAAACTGCCCGCTTTCTTAAGTTGTCGAGCCACATGAAATCGCTTTAGGGGGTATAAGCGAGCAAACCAAAGTTCATGTTGGAAGGTTTGCAACTGGGGGGAGCTGCGCCCCCCCCCCAACCCCCCCCGTTTTTTAACTGCAAACTGCCCGCTTTCTTAAGCTGTCGATGAAACGAAGGAAAGACGTTTTTTCTAAACACACAACAAGGACAAAGCCACACGAAAACATTTCAGGGGATTTAAAATTCCAAGAATATAAGATTTCTCATGAATGAAACGTCTTGACCGACAGGCAAAAGGGCGAAAGCCAGATGTATTCGCTTTGGGAAGCCAAGAGCAAGAAACAAGAAAACAAAGGTAAAACGACAACGTGAGTCTTTCTAGAAAACGAAGAGAGGGAGAAGCCACATGAAGTGCCCGCTTTCTTAACTTGTCGAGACACATGACATCGCTTTAGGGGGGCAAAAGCGAGCAAAGCAAAGCTCATGTTGGAAGGTTTGCAAACTGGGGGGGGGGGGGGGTGCGCCTCCCCCAACCCCCCCGCTTTTTTAACGGCAAAGTGCCCGCTTTCTTAAATTGTCGAGCCACATGAAATCGCTCTAGGGGGGGTAAACCGAGCAAAACAAAGTTGATGTTGGAAGGTTTGCAAATGGGGGGGTCTGCGCCGCCCCCCCAACCCCCCTGTTTTCTTCTCACGAATGAAACGTCTTCACCGACAGGCAAAATGGCGAAAGCCAGACGTGCTCGCTTTGAGATGGCAAGACCAAGAAAACAAAGTAAAACGAAAGCATGCATCTGTTAGGATAACGGAGAGAGGGAGAGCCACATGAAATCGCTTTAGGGGGGTAAAAACGAGCAAAGCAAAGCTCATGTTGAAAGGTTTTGCAAATGGGGGGGGCTGCCCCACCCCGCCCCGCTTTTTTAACTGTAGACTGCCCGCTTTCTTAAGTTGTCGAGCCACATGAAATCGCTTTAGGGGGGTAAAAGCGAGCAAAGCAAAGCTCATGTTGGAAGGTTTGCAACTGGGGGGAGCCCCCCCCAACCCCCCCCCGTTTTTAACTGCAAACTGCCCGCTTTCCTAAGTTGTCGAGCCACATGAAATCGCTTTATGGGGGGTATAAGCGAGCAAACCGAAGTTCATGTTGGAAGGTTTGCAACTGGGGGGAGCTGCGCCCCCCCTAACCCCCCCCCCCCCGTTTTTTAATTGCAAACTGCCCGCTTTCTTAAGCTGTCGATGAAACGAAGGAAAGACGTTTTTTCTAAACGCACAACAAGGACAAAGCCACACGAAAACACTTCAGGGGATTTGAAATTCCAAGAACATAAGATTTCTCATGAATGAAACGTCTTGACCGACAGGCAAAAGGGCGAAAGCCAGATGTATTCGCTTTGGGAAGCCAAGAGCAAGAAACAAGAAAACAAAGGTAAAACGACAACGTGAGTCTCTCTGGAAAACGAAGAGAGGGAGAAGCCACATGAACTGCCCGCTTTCTTAACTTGTCGGGACATATGACATCGCTTTATGGGGGCAAAAGAGAAGTACTGCTTTAACCTTTTTGATACTGTTTTTAATTTTTGGAGTCCTTGTGCCTTTTTTGATCCAAATCGAATTTTTTTTGATCCGCCACCCTCGAGCACCCCGTGCTTTTTGTGTGATTCTGTGGCGGAAGTACTGATTTAATTTTTTTGGATCCAATTTTTAATTCTTTTTGATCTTTGTGTTTTAATTTTTTTGATCCAAATTTAATTTTTTTTGATCCGTCACCCTGAAATGAGGGCTTCTGGCTTGGCAAGTGTCCGGACATGTTCCCGCCAAGGTGCTCGATTCATGTGGCGCCTCGCGCCCCGCTTTTTCCGTCGGGATATTGATGCGGCCAGCACAGGAGGTGCGTCACAGACTGGGCAAATCGTAAAGGCAGTCGCAGCTCCTTAGAGAAGGTGTTTCTTGCGCAGGTGTTCGCGGAATCGTCGCCAAATGCCACACAGCACTGGTGCCCAGTGAGTTGCAAAGCAGAGATTACTGAGTTGTACTCAAGCTTTTGTTGCAAGACTGTGCTCTCCCTGACATCATTCGTGTTGATGTTTCGCGGCTGCACATCAAGGCCTGATGGATTCAACTTCGGATCATCTGCATCCGTCTCATGGGGCGACTTTGCTGACAGCAGTCTTGTCCGGATGATGGTCTGTGCGAGCGTGCGAGTGCCTTTCGCGCTGCCAGGAGCCATACCGGTCACTGCTGGTGGCGGACAATATAGGCGCGGTCGTATACTGCCCAGTGCCCAGCAGAGCGGTGGCCCCGCCCTTGGAATTTTCGCAGGTTGTGCTGGTGCGCGTCCCCAGCCTTCTCCTGCAGCTTGACAGAGGCCATGGGAGCGTGCAAACGGAGGCACTTTGCACGTGCATGGCTTCTCCGGAGGATTTTCGGTTGGACGCGGGAACCTTCACCTTGATCGGCATGAGCCCATTCAACCAGGACACTTGGACCGAACTTGTGAGTTGACAGAGGTTCGTGTTCACTGTCACTGTCAAAGTTTCTGACAGGACCGAACGTGCGTGGCCGGGGAGGCCATGATCAAATCATGCAGGGGTGCGAAGTGTCATGCCCGACCTTTACGACTTTTGCGTGACGTCAAAGTCGAGTGTGCAAGTTCGCCATTGGCGCAGCCGAAGCTTGCATCCCCCTGCAACCTGTTGAGAGAATTTTAGGGTTTACGAAGGTTTCGTCGAGTTCGACAATCTCCCAACTCATCGCCGGAGCCAGTCCAACGAATCATGTCGGAGGGCGATTTGCAGGTGTGCTTCACCGATGGCTTCTCGGGCCAGCATCTGTCAGTCAACGACAGGCTCGGTTACGGTCAGTGTGCCGGGGCAGTGTCAGGGTTGGGGACTCCTCACGCGCTGACAATGTCGTGATCAACAGTTGACCTTGGGCCTGGTGTCTGCTGGCAGTCTCCTCGTTGTCGACACCTGTGGCAGCCCAGAGTTGGAAGCTGAGCCAAGCGATCAAGACATGGATGGTACGGTGCATGCCTTGGCGGTCTCAGTCTCAGGTCAAGTTGGATTGAGACGGGCATGCCCGTGAACCGACAGGATTCCAGCGTACTGGTCTCGCCAGGTTGGCATAGAACAACTGGTGTTCTACAATGAAGCCACTGAAGCACACAGGTTGGTCCTTCGAGCACACAACCGTCCCAGGAGGAGTATACAGGCCACATGTGGCCACATGCTCTGAAACAGCAGCTTGAGACGGAAGTTACTTGACCTGTGAGGCTCTGCTGGTGTGGCGATTTGCAGCCGTGCAGCACATCAGAGCACTTCAGGCGAGGCATGTGGAATCTGATGACTTTCGCGGTTTCCGCGACGAGTGCAGCCTCCTCTGCGAGGTTCGACGTTGGGGGTCTCTTTTTGCTCGGCCCGGCGCCTCTGGAGCAGCACAGGACGCCAAGTGCACCGTTTTTTTTTTCGACACATGCACGAAGCCTTCATGATTTGCTCATCTGCGTGCAGGACTTGCATAAGTGGCCAATCATGTCCTATGAGCGATTTACAAGGCTTCGCCATGCCCTTGGAGTCCCAGGCAGCGTGTTGGAAGCTTGAATCATTGATCATCCTTGATCCAGCAAGGGTCTCTCGATGCAGGTAGTTGTGCTAGATACCTGTGGTACTAGCGCTGCCAAACCGCTGACATCGCCGATTCCGACTGCCGCAGATGGCAGTTTCTTGGCCTCTTGGCAAAATCTCAGCCTTATCTCTTCTTCCGCTTCTGTGCAAAAGCTCTGTAAGGCCACAGCCACAGCATTGCCAAGCTGCTGGCCAACCATGCAAGCGGGAAGCAGCCGACAATGCAGAGCAGCAGGCCTTGGCAAAGCAGCGTGAAGCCTCCTAGGCTTGTTGTGCGGGCTCTAGACTCTGTGCTGCAGGCGGTCAATACCGGCTTTGCTGGTGCAGTGGCTTGGTGAGGCCGAATCGTTGTTTGCACAGGATGCGATAAGGTAGCGGAAATTGACGTGATCACAGGAACCAGACAATGCCGAATTCCACGACAACATGGACTGATGATCCCAACACGTGGGGCACTTCATGTATGCGGGGGGAAGACTTCGACATTGATGTTGGCACGTTCACAGTTGTCGGGCCGTCTCCTGTTTCGCAGCAGATGACATGTGTTGCTGGGTGGACATGTGCACTCGAGATATCTGGTGCCGGCATTCGCAACGTCGATCGTGCAATGATTCTGGAGACTTGTGGTGTGGCTTCATCTGTGGAGGGATTACCAAGCTCGCCGGGAACCGAAGTTGTCCGGGCACCAGGTGGTTCCTACCAGCTCTGTTGGTGTGCAACATCTGGTCTGTTGAGCTGCAGATTGTCCGTAGAGTTCACGTTTGGCTTTGGACAGCTGCACATCTTGGGTCCCATGCGTGGGCAAGATCGGACATGCGTGGCCGGACAAACTTGCGTTGTGGATGTCCTCGGGCTGGGTCTGTCGGATGAAGATCAGTTCTTGGTGGCAGAGACTTGTGGAGCCTTTACGACCCTGCCCAGATTCCCTTCGTCAGGTCTTTCCGAGTCTGTTTCGACGGCCCGGAACTCTACTGAGCTGTCAGTGAGGTCGTTTACCATTTCTTGGGGCCTGACACTTGTGACATCCCAGGGTGGAGACTACAGGCTTTGCTGGTGTTCTCATGCTGCTTCGCAGATCGCGGATCGTTCGTGCTCTCTTCACCCGGCCTTTCTCGGCATTGGCAATTCCTCTGGAGCAGGTGAAATGCTGCAGCCTGCGGCCAACCACGGCTTTCTGTTCGATGCAGGAAGGCTTCGGGTTCGTGGGGTGTTCCCACTGGACCAGGCCCGTACTTGCATTTCTGGCCAGACATGCCAAATAGATGCCATCACAGGCATCGACCTAAAGAACGGAGATGCTGTGATGGCTTTGGAGACCTGCGGTGTCAATCAGGCGATCAACCGCTTTGCCTGGACAGGGCTGGCGACAAGCGTGGCGGCCAGCGGTTCCACGTTCTCCTGGGGCCCTGAACCGATCACGGCAGCCGGAGGGGTCTACCGTTTGTGCTGGTGTGCAGCATCAAGTCATGGCTGCGAGATTCCGAGCAAGTTTGCGGTTGATTTCGGATCTCTCATGCTGCTTGGGTCTGAGACCGAGCACATCCGTCATTCGCGAACTTGTGTTGCGGGCACGACGTGCCGCTTGCATCAAGTTGAAGGCCAAGAGTTGCCTGCTGGTAGCCAGCTGCTTATCCTGGACAGCTGTGGCACTGCCAGCCAAGTACCCCGATTCCCGGCGATCTCGATCCCGGCTCACGATTCGAATTGGACATATACGAGCCTCGAGTTTGGAGTGGTGACAGCAGCTGCAGGGCAGTATCGACTTTGCTGGTGTGGTGGGCAGACGGGCTGCACTGATGCACAGCAGTTTAAATTCGATGCTGGTAGCTTCACTTTGCTGGGACCGGGGCCTCTGGAGCAACACAGGACATGCGTTAGTGGACAGCCATGTGCCATCGAGGGGCTCACGGGCATCGGACTAGAAGACCTCAACGCTGGCACCTTTTCCGTTCTCGAGACCTGTGGCATCGCACCCTGGAAGTCGACTTTCCCACCTGTGTCCGCTTCCCAGCCGTTTCGGGATTTCTGTGTCTAGTTCCCCTTTGGGCAATGACGACGCTGACTCAGCTTAGCAGCTTCTTGATAGTTGCAGCTGGCTTTGCAGAGGTCAACTGAGGCAGATTGCCAGAATTTGTATCTTCTTCAGTTGTAGGATGCAGTGCTATCTGCCAGGAGGTGTGGACTCGGTTTTGCGTAGCTGTGCCCATGCTTCCGCGCTGTCGCTCAGGTCTTCGATCCGAGTAACTGCTGGATCAGAAGAGGTTGCAGTATTCTGGAATGCCTCGATACTTCGGCAAGGTGGCCAACACAGACTCTGCTGGTGTCCCAGGCCTTCAGGCTGCACGGCTGAAGCAGACTTTTTGACGGACGTCGGTCGAATTGAGCTCGTCGGGGTGTCACCTCTGCCGCAGCACCGGACATGCGTCAGTGGACAAACTTGCGAGTTTGATGGAATCACCGGGCATTATCTATCTGATCAAGATGTCTACCTGGTGGCTGATACGTGTGGCACTACTTTAGGAGTGCCACGATTCTTGGGAAAAAGCAGCTTCTCCACTTCAGTAACAGCTTCTGGAGCACGTGTTTCGTTTGGATCCGTGCCAGTCACAGCTGCAGGTGGTCACTTCATGCTCTGCTGGTGTTCCGGCACTCTTGCAAACGGCTGCCGCAACCAGGCTGACTTTCAAGTCGTTGCAGGCACACTCAGCTTGTTGGGACCGGCTCCGCTCCGGCAGGACAAGACATGCATCAGTGGGCACACCTGCAGCTTTGAAATGACCAGCCACCTACCGCACGCAGGAAATTCCTTCCTGGTTGTGGACACATGTGGCACAAATAGTCTGCCACATGGTGTCTCCTCAACACCCTTCCAAACTACGATGTATCTCTCATCTTTTTCAGTGGGCTTCGTGGATGCAGACGGAGATGGCATTACTGCCTGCGGAGGAGACGAGTGCTTCAACGATCCGTTCAAAATCTACGGTGGAATCTGTGGCTGTGGCGTCGCCGACGTCGACACAGACGGTGATGGTCTAGTGGACTGCTTGGATTGGTGCCCCCTGGATCCAAACAAGACAGCTCCTGGATACTGCGGATGTGGCGACACCGAAGATGACACGGACGGAGACGGTGTGCTTGATTGTGCTGACAAATGCCCCCTTGATCCAACGAAAACCAACCCTCAGCTGTGTGGCTGTGGAGTGCCAGATACAGACTCAGACATCGATGGTACCCCAGACTGCTATGACAAGTGCCCCAGCCAGCCAGACAGTGTTGCTGGGGTGTGCCAGTGTGCCGCGAGCTTTGCCGACGATGACTTCGACGGAACCCCCAACTGCAATGATCTGTGTCCGCTGGATCCACTGAAGCTGGCGCCCGGGCCAGGAGGCTGTGGCACTCCCGACACAGACAGCGATGGAGATGGCACCGTTGACTATTTGGACATGTGCCCCCTCGACGCTGGCAAAGTCGAGTATGGTGACTGCGGATGCGGGGTTTCGGACATCGACTCGGACTCTGATGGCTTGCCTGACTGCGTCGATGCATGTCCGCTTGACAGTGGCAAGAACCTGACAGGTATCTGTGGCTGTGGGATCTCGGACGAGGATCCTGATGGGAACCGAAGGCCAATTTGCTTCCCAGATTGTCCTCCAGTCTCAACCTCCAGCCAATACGTCGTCTCTGTGGCCGGACTTGGCAGAGAACAGATCTCAATGGCAGGTGGCCAATATCGCCTCTGCTGGTGTGCTGGCAAGTCGGGCGGGCCAGTCAATGGCAGCAACGTGTCTAATGAGAGCAGCAGCACCGGCTACAGCTGCTCCCACTTGGAAGATTTCAAGGTCGACTTCGGTGGCCTGTTTGTCATGGGGGTCGCACCACTGAAGCAGTCCAGGACCTGCGTGAGTGGCTCCTCCTGCGTTGTCGAGGGATTCACTGGCTTTGGCCTCACCTCAGCCGATGGTTACATGATCTTGGAGACCTGTGGTGTCCACTCGGGACCTCTTCTCACATTGCTTCCTTTCGACAGCTATGGAAACGTTAGCAACGGATGGTCAATAACACGGCGCTGGGTGAGGGAGACCCAGGTCTCTGGTGGCTTCTACAGGTTGTGCTGGTGTGCGGACCACTTTGACAACGTGACCTCTTGGTGTCAGCATGCAGAATACCACACAGTTGACGTCGGAACCATGTCCTTGGCAGGACCAGAACTCTCCCAGGTCGGATGGACGTGCGTGTCTGGGCAGGGATGTGTTCTGGATGCCATCACCGGCCATGCATTGTCGTCCCTCGATGCCCTTATCGTTCTGGAGACCTGTGGAACAGCTTCTTCTGGCACTGCGGGCCTCCCACGGCCAGAGGCTCCGCTGGAACTGCTTTCTTCGCTTCATGGCCGTGCATCGTGGCATGGTCCTTTGACCATCCCCGGAGGTGACTTTCGTCAGAGCCTCAGTTCTGCTCTGCGCATGCCACAATTCACCCTACCTAGTCTCATGCATTGGCTCCCTGCCAAGGTCTGTGCTGGTGCGCTGGCATAGAGCAGCAGTCATCAAGTATTTTGAATGGCTCCTGCATTGCTGGCAATGACACAGCTCCTGCAGAGCACTTTGCTCTGGACGTTGGGCGTGTCACTGTGCTCGGCACTGCGCCCCTCACTCAGGATCGCACTTGTGTTGCAGGCCTGCCTTGCCACATCGATGGCATTACCGGCCACGGATTGACAGACGATGACAAAGTGCTGGTACTTCACACGTGTGGCAATGTGGCTCATGTTAGCGGATTTCCAGGTTATGGTGCAATGCGACATACATCAGCATCTGGAGCATCCGTGTTCTGGGCTTCTCCAGTCACAGCTCTTGGAGGGCAGTATCGCTTATGCTGGTGCTCCTTTGGCCAACATTGCAGCAGTGGCGAGCAGTTCCGCACTGACTTTGGTAGCTTCACTCTCGTGGGGCCCAGCGGCTCCAACCAAGACAGGACGTGCATCGCTGGACTCAGTTGTGTAGTGCAGGCCATTGCAGGGCAAGATTTGTCTGTCCTAAATCAGTACGCTGTGTTGGACACCTGCGGAGTCGCAAGTCCCATAGCTGGCATGCCGCCACTAGAGACGACTGCCCACAATGCCGCAGTTACCTCTGTCACGGTGACAGCCGTGGCTGGCCAATACAGGCTCTGCTGGTGCAGTGGCCTACTGAACCAAACACCAGTTGGGTCGAATTTGACAGATAACCAATCGAACGGCTCCGGCTACCAGTCTTTCCTCCCATGGTGGAACACGAGCCTTGTCAATCTGAGCTCACCCTCCAACGACACCGCCGTCCCATGTCGAACCGCTGAGGAGTTTCGGATGGATGTGGGCGCGTTGCTTCTGATTGGAGCGACCACATTAGCAAGTGACTTTACATGTGTATCTGGTAGAGATTGCGAGGTTGACCACATAGTTGGCATCAGCCTGAGCGACGGGGACTCCATCGTTGTGCTTGATACGTGTGGAAGACCAGGCGCCCCATTGCAGCCTCGAGCTCTTGCCAACGGCACACATGCAGCCTGGCAGACCATCACAACACCAGGGGGCGTATATCGATTGTGCTGGTGCAGTGCATCCAAGCAGTGTCACGGGGCCGAAGACTTTGATCTAGACATTGGAAGGCTCTTCGTCTTGGGTCCACGGCCTCTGTCACAAGACCGGACTTGTGTAAGTGGGATGGAGTGTGCGGTGAATGGTATTGAGAGTTACGGAATGCTGCAGGGAGGTAGCATTGCGATTCTCAGCACCTGTGGCCTTGTTGATGGAACGGATATATGGGCTGCGCTTCCTATGAGCTTTGCATCGCAGCAGCAGCCGGGAAGTAGTGTTTTCTCGTCAAGTTTGGTGACCGACGTTGAGATTACGGCTGCCGGGGGCAAGTACAAGCTCTGCTGGTGTGGCTCCTGGGCCGGTGGCTGCGACAGATCTGAGGACTTTCAGGTCGACTTCGGCAACTTCTTCTTGGTGGGAGTCTCCCCTCTTCGGCAAGACCGCACCTGCTTCGCTGGCGCTGCTTGTGTCTTAGCGGACATCTCCGGCCATGGAATTGCCGCAGAATCTTCGGTTCTGGTGCTGGGGACATGTGGTCTTGGTCGGGCAACGCTCATGAGATCCTGGTGGGATGAAGCTTCCATCAGCTCTGCCAGTGGCTCGGTGACCTCGTGGCGCATGGTTCCCTCCTCTGGCCCAGGAGGGCAGTATCGCTTGTGCTGGTGCTCCCGGCAACCCTGCAGCGTGCGTGATGCGTTGGTGGACTTTGGCCAGTTGACCTTAGTGGGCCCGGAGCCCCTTTATCAGCATCGGACGTGTGTGAGCGGGCTTGCATGCGAGTTGAGCGGACTAACTGGGACTTTCTGGAGTGGAGACATCTGGGTGCTGGATACATGTGGAACGCGAAGTGGCTTGATTAGCAGATTTGCGACAGACGGCCGTTCTCTCATCTCGATGCCTGAAGGCACTGTCAGCTTCAACTATCCGGTTTCAGCCGCAGGCGGACAGTATCGCATTTGCTGGTGTTCAGATGGTTTCCTCAATCACAGCAATTCGACAGATGATCTTGCTCGACGCGGCTGCAGCTTTGCCCCGGAGTTTGTTATGGATATCGGAGAATTGCTGCTTGTTGGAGTGTCACCACTTGCGCAAGATCACACTTGCATTGCTGGGCAAAGCTGCCATCTTCCAGACTTGCGGGGATTTGGCTTGTCTGCTCTGGACACAGTCGCTATCCTCGACACCTGCGGGCAACAGTTCTTGCAACGCTGGCCGGCGGAGCCCACGATACTCGAAACAGATGGCAAGCTCAGCGTATCTTGGAGCTTCGTCACAGCAGCAGGCGGCCAGTATCGGCTGTGTTGGTGTCCTGGGTTGTCTTGGACCTCGGGGGAGGCGGAGGATGATTTCGATCCCTGGGCTTCAAATGACACTTGGAACGGAAGTGGGACCCCTGTGCAAAGCTTCCAGAGAAAATGTCCTTCCACGGAGTCTATGATTGTGGACTTTGGTGCATTGACACTTATAGGTCCAACTCCCTTATACCAGGAATACACATGCGTCAGTGGCCAAACCTGTGAATTGGAGCATGTGGAGGGTCTTCACCTGCAGGAGGGAGATCGTATCCAAGTTCTGGAGACCTGTGCAGTGAGTGTGCAAGGCACGGTGCCGTCGCGCATGCCTGCAGGAGGTCTGCTACAGGCCTTTGCTCTTGGCAACAACAGTCTTGCTTTCTCCCTCGGCGAGGTGGATGTACCGATCTCTGCGGTTGGAGGGACTTATCGCCTTTGCTGGTGCTCGGCAGACGTCGACTGCAGGGCCTTGGAGTCTTTTCGGGTGGATATCGGACAGCTCACGGTGCTGGGTGCACGCTCAGGCAGCTTCACATGTGTCAGCGGTAGTAGGTGTCACATTGATGGAGTTCCGGGGCTTTTCGCAAGCTCGGCTTTCATGATACTTGACACCTGTGGCATGGGCGCCTCGATCGACCAGGGACAGATGATTCAAAGTTCTGGTAGCATGTCCGGGGTGTCGGGAGTGCTAAGTGCCTCTGGTGGGCAGTACAGGCTCTGTTGGTGTGGCTCTTCCGAGGAGACCTGGATACAAGGGGACAACTACAGCAACTCTTCAGTCAGTGCGTTGCGAACCTTAGGTTGCGCGACATCCAAAGACTTCCAAGTTGATGCTGGCGAGATTCATCTGGTGGGACCGGTTCTTGGCCAAGCGCGCACATGCATTGGGGGTCAGTTGTGCCGCATTGAAGGGCTTGTTGGCTACGGCTTGGCCCCGAGTGATCGCCTGCTTGTCATGAACAGCTGCGGCAGCATTTCTGCTCTACCTGCAGGATTTCCTACCGCAGGTACGGCCTTAGTGCCAACGAACAGAACCGTGGCAACCAACATTTCAGACTTCTGGAACACCATTGTGACAGCAGCCGGGGGTACGTATCGTCTATGCTGGTGCAGTGAGCTTGATGCCAGCTGCTCAGCATCTCAAGACTTTTCCGTGGATGTGGGAGACTTTACATTGCTTGGTCCACGACCCTTGGAGCAACACCGAACTTGCATCAGTGGCCGGGCCTGCTTTCTGGCAGCCTCGCCGGATCATGGCCTGGAAGGGCTCGGAGTTGACCCGGCGGCGGATGGGCTGCTGGCAATTCCGCTCGCATCCACCTGCGGGACTCTTGGTGCGAGGAATATCGACGGCACAACATCCTACCTTGCTGTGCCCAGCGGCTCCTCCCCGGTAACGGTTGTACAGGCGGTGCCTCGCATGAGCGAGCCCGGTGGCCTTTATCGGCTTTGCTGGTGCAGCTCTCAGGCCTTGTCCTGCATGGCGCAGCACCATTCTGTGCAGGTCGGTCTTCTGACCGTCATTGGCCCTGCGCCTTTGAAGCAGGATCGAACCTGCATATCAGGAGCCAGCTGCATAGTGGACCTTGAGGGATCGTTTGTCGATGCAAGAGTAGCGGGGATGCTTATGGTGCTGGAAACATGTGGCCTTGCAACTCTGCTGCCGCGCTTCCTTCCAGATGGTGTAGTGCCACTTCCTGGGACAGAAGCGAACAAGTCGGCCAACATGTCGGCTTTGCAAATCAGTGCTGCCGGTGGGCTTTACCGCATGTGCTGGTGTGCAAACACGCTTCCGGCGTCTCTTCTTAATGAGTCTTTTGCAGATTCTGGTCTTCGCCTCGAAGCTTGCAGCGAGCCTTCGGACTTTGTTGTTGATGCCGCAGCCTCAGGCGGCAAGGAATGTCTGCATCGAAGCTACCGGGAACTCCCAATTCGTGTCTCCAGCATCCGAGGTCGGTGCCTTGACGGTTGTGGGGCTTGCTCCCCTTGAGCAGCATCGAACCTGCATCAGTGGTCAGATGCCACTCGGCACTCCCTTAACTGAGACTGCTTGGTGCTGCCATTTCGTGACAGCGGCACGCGCAATTGACCTTCCTAATTGTAAGGTGTGTGGTGGATGGGATCAGCGGACGGCATCTCACGTTTGACGACAAGCTCCTCCTGCTAGAAACATGTGGCACGGTGCTCGGTCCTTCTGCTTTCGGACCGCTTCAATCTCCAAACCTGCTTATGGAAGCCGAGGTGATGCTCGTGGCTGGGGCCGAGGATCAGGGATGGCAGTGGCCGATTCGCTCGTCGCTACCGTGCCTTTCCAGAGTTGCGGGGGGGGGGGATCGAAACACATGTGCTTACAGAGGGTTTTGGGTTGGCTCTGGGTTTGATGGTTTGGAGCCGTTGGCTTAGACTTTCCGTGGATTGAGAGTCATGGGGGATTTTGCTTCGGGAAAGTTGTTCTGCCACACGAGTCCCAAAAAGCGCCAGCAAACTGACTCGGGGAATCGCTCAGGATACCTTCTCAACGATGATCTTTTCCTGGGGCTCGGAGAAGCTCAGCCTAGCTGGGGGACAGTACCGGCTTTGCTGGTGCTCCAGCGCGGCTTCAACGAACATCTCAGAGCTCGGTGCCCACCAATCAAACAGGACGGCTTGTACGACGGCCGGAAGCTTCCAGGTTGATGGAGGCCGCATGACAATCATCGGTGTGGCTCCGCTGCGGCAAGATCGGACATGCTTGTCGGGTCAGACGTGCATGATAGACGGAATTCAAGGTCAGCACCTCTCAGATCGCGACCTGTGGTTGCCCATGGACACCTGCGGGGTGCCGGATCAAATCATCTCACCGGCCGGGCGACTTGTTACGACGGTTTCGCTTTCTGGCAGCTTCGTTTCATGGGGAAACCATGCTCTCACACTGGCAAGCGGGCAGTACCGCCTGTGTTGGTGCTCGGGCGATGCGCATTGCAGTACATCTTCTCAGTTTTCCATAGATGTTGGAGAGTTCCGCATGATTGGGCCGTCTCCACTGCAGTCCCACACCTGCGTGTCCGGGCAAACTTGTGTTGTCAAGGACGTGGTGGGCACGGGATGGGAGGCCACGGATCAATTCTTAGTCATGGCGACCTGTGGGCGCAGCCAGGCCTGGGAAACATGTGAAGTTAAAGTTCCTTCTAAGTCTAAGTCAAGTAGCAGCCTCAGTCTTGAACGACAGCTACAGACTGCCTGCAGGCTACCCCCGGACTGAGTTTTACTGGCCGAGTTGCTGCCTTGAGCGAAACCTACACGACAGTGACCTGGAATTCAGCTCGGGTTCTCGCACTGGGCGGCAGTTATCGGCTGTGTTGGTGTCCGGGCGTGATCGTATCAAGCAGCACCAACAGCTCGCGCGACTGTGTTGCGACGGAGTTCGCTGCCGATGCCGGTGAGCTGTTTGTTCTTGGCCCTACCAGGAGGCAAGAGTGGACTTGTATCTCTGGTCAAGAATGCTCAGTCTCTGGACTTGATTCCGGTGCGGCAACTAGTGACTTTGGGCAGCTGGTGGTGCTCGAGACTTGCGGCGTTGGAGGCATCCTGCCTCGCTGGTCTGAATCAGGTCGTTTAGCTCCACATTTGGTCGCGACTGACTCCCTCACTTCTGGCGTTGTGGTGTCTGCAAAAGGCGGCCGATATCGTCTCTGTTGGTGTGCTTCATTGCCAAATCCAGCAGCACACTGCTCTTCAGAAAGTTCAGCAGGGAATGCATCTTGCGAGCTTTTCACAAGCAACTGGACGGGAAACTTGAGCTTGCCTTGTCAAGCTGCACAGGATTTTTCTGTCGACCTGGGCAGCATGGATGTGCAGGGCCCGAGCCCACTCGACCAGCACATGACCTGCTTCAGCGGTCAAGCCTGCCAGTTCCATCATCTTACCGGCTACTATCTGGATAGCCTCAGCAGGGTCATGATCCTCGATACCTGTGGTGCCAACGCGTTGCCATCCCGATTAAAGCAGGAAAGCTTCATGAGTGGCAATTCCTGGGCGCCCGCCGAAATAACTTCGCCTGGAGGAGTTTACAGGCTTTGTTGGTGCAGGGAGTCGAACTTCACCTGGCAGAGCTGCCTGCTGGGTGAGCATTTCCTTGCCGACGCTGGCACCCTGACAGTCCTTGGGCTGAGCCCCCTGAGTCAGGATCGCACCTGTATCAGCGGCCACAAGTGCACCCTGGACAATCTGGAAGGAGTTGGATTGGAAGATGCCTCTTTCAAGGTGCTCATCATGAACACGTGTGGGCTGGATGACACAGTGCCAAAGTGGGCCCATGCCGCAGACTTGTGGACAATGCGGCCTGGCTTCGCTTCTTGGCTGGACCTGGCCGTCACGGCTGTTGGTGGTTACTATCGCCTGTGCTGGTGCTCACAGACGAATCACACGTCGGAAAGCCAATGTTTGCGAGCCTCTCACTTCGAAGTGGATGCGGGTGGCCTCCTCCTTGTGGGCCCGGCACCCCTCGAGCAGGACAGAACATGCATCAGCGGGCAGACTTGTGTCGTAGAGTCGCTGCTCGGAGTTGGATGGACAGCTTCAGATGCAATAGCTATACACTCCACTTGTGGCGACTTACATGACGAAGCGGTGCCAGCGAGGTTCTTTCAAGAAAGCCCTCGCCTGTCAGACACGCCCGGTGGAAGCTGGACGGCAAGCTGGGATGCAGTACGTAGTTCTGCTGCTGGAGGTCAGTATAGGCTATGCTGGCATGCGGGGGCGGAGCTGAATGGAACAGTGGTGGCTGCAGATGGGGAAGGTTGGATAGACATGGGTGCCTTCACACTTGTCGGACCATCTACCGACGCTTCTCGAACATGCCTGAGCGGACAACCCTGCCGAGTGGATGGGTTGCTGGGGCACCACCTGGACACCAACGACTCATTCATTGTGATGGAGACATGTGCCTTGGATGATGCATTTATATATTCTGTTTGGATGCTCACTCTTAATCTGTTGTTTTGCTGGGAATCGCGTAGAAACCGGGGAGGAACACATGCGGAGGAGGACGTGAAGCACGACTCCAAAGAACAAACACGGTCAAGCCAGGAACCTGAAAACCTAACCGAAGAAAGTGGTGCAAGACTGGAACTCCGCGCATTTTGTTTTGATGCCGCCCGCGCACCTGCTCCCGGCCTTGTCCGTGCACGCCTCCGCGCACCTGCGCCCAATGTTCACATGCACCTCCTTCGCGCACCGCCCGTGCACCCGATATCGCGCTCCTCGCGCACCGCCCGCGCACTCGACATCGCGCTCTGCCCTTTGCCGGCGTGTGCACCCGATAAATTGTCGAATGTAAGACGTCAGCCTGCTCGTCCCTGGTTGAGACACTTGCCACCAAACAGAACGGCCACGCTTGAGGCGAGGCCAGACGCATTCGTATCAGCAGCAAGCCCTGAGGTGTTGCCAAGGCTTTGCCCCTTAACTGTCCACGCCTTCCCCCCGTAGCGCCCTCGCACCCGATATCGCGCTCATGCCCTTGTCCACGCCCCACCTTGTCCATGCCCCTGCCCCGCAGCTCCTGCCGTTGCTCCGTTTGATCCACCCCTCCGGGCTCTCCACTTTGGGCATGCCACAGTTTGGCCTCGCCTTAGAGCACTAAACGAGAACCCAACCCAAGATGAAGGATGAGACGAGACAGAAAGGAGGACATGAAGAACAAGATCTTAAAGCACCAAGCAGTATCGTCCGTGCGGCCTCGCCTTCTTGTGATTGCCTTGGAGATTATGTGGCGCCCTTCAGCCGAGCAGGGTCCCGTAAGGATTCGATGGTTGGGGCCTCGCTGGTCAACGCCGGAACGAACCCAACCCACATTTTCAACTAGTAATGCAGCTTGCATAGACGTGGTGTGGGATTTCTGGCAGTCCTGTACAATCATGCAGACACATCCAGACAAAAAGGTCGTATACTTCAATTCAGAATCACATCAGGTGCGAATAGACAAGAGGGGCAAACCGCTACTAATCAACTCATGTTGATGCGCAGGAGCCTGCATGTCTGACTTTGTTGTTCTTGTGTGTGCACGGTAACAGCAGAGCATCGCAAGCAGGTGGAGTTACACAAATTATTCCCAAATTTGCAATCGCCGGGCTGTTCGATAGCGTGCAAGCCAGCGGGGCCGCGGTCTCTTGGGGTACAGCACTGAACTCTGCTGCTGGTGGCCAGTACAGACTGTGCTGGTGTGGAGCACTGGGCGATTGCACTGACCCTCAGGATTTTGCCGTCGATGTTGGCGAGCTTCACTTTCATGGCCCAGCCCCTTTATCGCAGGATCGAACATGTGTGAGTGGGAGGACATGTTCCTTCGTTGGCCACGTTTATGGTGACCACATATGGTCCATGTCAATCATGGACACCTGTGGGCTCAACCATGATCCACCGCAAAGAACAGCTGTGGTTGCAGCTACGGGAAGTGTCACTTCAGTGACCTTCGATACTTTGACATCTGCAGGCGGCGTCTACAGGCTTTGCTGGTGTGCTGCGAGGACCTGCTCTACCTCAGAGTCCTTTGCAGTAGATGCCGGGAAGCTCGAGCTTGTTGGAGTATCTCGTGCGCAAGATAGAACATGCATTTCTGGGCGAACTTGTGAGATTGACGGGCTTCGTGGATATCATATCTCGAACCATGACTACCTGCAGATTCTGGAGACCTGTGGAGAAGCGGGCTCACATCCGTATTTGCCCAGACAGCAGCTGTCAGTTCAGGGCGGAAGTGCTCGTGCCATCTGGCCAGTCGTGCCAGTGGCTGCTTATGGAGGTCAGTACAGAATCTGCTGGTGTAGCAGTGAGGGGGCGAACTCCTATGAAGGAAACTCTTCGCATGACTGCGCATCCTCGCAAGACTTCAGCGTAGAGGTGGGGAATCTCCTGGTTCTCGGTCCAAGCTTCCCAGAACAGATGAGAACTTGCATCAGTGGCCATTCATGCAGACTCACAGGTCTCTTGGGCGAGAGCTTTGCTGGTGGATCGGAAATCCTTGTAGCGGAGACATGTGGATCCGCTTCCATCATTCCCGGATTTCCCCAAGCAAGTCAAACTCTTGAGCAAAACCTCCTTGTGGAAGTTGCCTGGACCATGGTAACCGCAGCCGGAGGCCGATATCGTCTCTGCTGGTGTTGGCCCCTTGAAGGCTACAATGCGTCCGGCGCTGGAGAGTGCGACGTGGCCTCGAAGTTTCGCATTGACCTGGGCACGCTGACGCTTTTGGGTCCTCTGAGAGATCAAGACCGGACGTGCACTTCCGGCCTCAGCTGCTTCATTGATGGCATCCTGGGGGAAGGGCTGCGCGCCGACACGGACAACGTGCTTGTTTTGGAGACCTGCGGAGTCAACCAGGTGGTGCCACGATTTTCCGGTGCTGGGGTGTTCACCGACATCTCCCGAAGTGGTGCAAGCATCAGCTGGGGAGCTGCCCCGAATACTGCCGCAGGAGGAGGCTACCGACTTTGCTGGTGCTCACAAAGTGCATGTAGTACACCCACAGACTTCCAGGTAGACTTCGGATCGCTTCTCCTCCTCGGAGTCGCGCCGCTGGATCAAACGTTGACCTGTGTGGCGGGAAGGGCGTGCCCATCCTCGTGGTCTTTCGGAGTCTCGGGGGTATCCTGGTCTTCCTTCGGAACGGCGATAGCTCTGGAGACCTGTGGAGCCGAGAGAGCCCTTGCCCCACCGAGAATGCAAAGCAACATCACCGGAGTTGAGATCCTTGAAAGATCAGCTGCTGGGAAGTGGAGGCTCTGTTGGTGCGCCTCTGGTCCGACGAACGACTCAGTATCAAACCGAACCATGTGTGAAACCATGCTGGACTACATTGTCGACATCGGGGAGCTGTCAATCCTGGGCCCGCTGCCAACGAACGGTCACACCTGTGTGAGCGGCCTTCCTTGCTTCGCAGATGGCCTCCTGGGCTTGGATTTATCCCCCAACGATTCGTTCGTGATACTTTCAACTTGTGGAACCGAGACCACACCGATGCGCTTCCCGAATGCTGCGCTTGCTACGTTTGATCCCGGGACGGGCACGCTACACTGGGACGGGAACGGCTCCTTCACGGCCTTGACTGCTGCAGGTGGACAGTATCGTCTTTGTTGGTGTCACCCCGTGTCGAATGTTGACTGCCTGGCATCTGCTGACTTCAGATATGATGTCGGAAGCTTCGCAATCTTGGGTCCGGCGCCCTTGCAGCAGCATAGAACTTGTATTAGCGGCGCGGCGTGTGCGCTGGAGGGACTCACAGGTAACTTGCTGTCAGATGCAGATGCAGTGATGGTGATGCAGAGCTGTGGCTCCAAGCAAGGAGCCGGCATTGGCTTTCCAGCCTTAGGGCTTGGAAATTCTTCTTTGATCGTGACACCCAGCGGTGGCTCATACCGAATTTGTTGGTGTACTCCACCTGCCAGAGCGTTTCTCGCCGGTTTACCTTCCTTTGCCTGGCAGAACAGGGATGGCTGCAACCTGGCAGAAGACTTTCTGGTCGATATTGGCGCTTTCACAGTGCTGGGCCCTCTCCGCGATCATGCGAGGACCTGTGTCGCCGGTGCCATTTGCAGTAGCGCCATCCAAGGGCTCGGTCTTTCATTGGATTACCGCTTACAGATTCTTGACACTTGTTCGGGATCGGGACAGGTAGCGGAAAGCGAGACAAGAAACGATACGGCGCCTCTGTGGTTTGACAAGATCTCATCTGCAGGTGGAGCCTATCGACTTTGCTGGTGTGCCCTCCAGGCCTGCAACGAGATGGTGGACATAGGGACCGTCTTCCTCCTTGGAGTAACACCGCTGCAGCAGGACAGGACGTGTGTCGCGGGGCAAGCATGCAGGCTCGATGGGGTGTCTAGCTACGGAGAACTGGATGCTAGCCATCTGATGATCCTGCAGACTTGCAATGTTCCCCATGGGCTTGGCATTGCAGATGTGCATGCCGTAGTCGACAGTGCAGTGGCACACGGCAATTTCAGCAACGCTTCCGGGGAGATGCCGGCTGTCCAAAGCAAAGCCTGGTTCCTGGATGAGGTGACTCTACCCGGTGGGGGCTACCGCCTTTGCTGGTGTGGATCCATGGCTGCCACAGGTGCTGCGAATGATACGGGCGGCCCTGACAACCTGACGGCTTCTGATTGCAGGGTGATTCCCGGGTCTCAGGTGGACTTCGGGGAACTCTTGGTAATTGGTCCGTCCAACAGTGTCGAGGCGACTTGCGTGAGCGGGCAGGCCTGTGTCGTGGATGGGCTGCTCGGAGAGCATCTCTCGACAGGCGACTTCATCACCATTCTGGATACTTGCGGTGTGCCGAGTAGAGATCTCGATGGCTTCCCCCAGAACGGCCTGGCAACGAGCATTGCTGCAAGCGGCAGCGCAGCAGACTGGGGTCTTCAGACTCCGCTTACGGGCCAAGGAGGGTCCTACAGGTTGTGCTGGTGCGCTGCCGGCTTTTCATGCTCCAGCTCAGAAGACTTTGCCGTCGAAGTGGGATCGCTTTCCTTGCGGGGGCCCATCCCTCTTGGCCAGGACAGGACCTGTGTGGCCGGATACACTTGCAACATCGGATTTGATGGGATGGACATGAGCCCATATGTGGTGGAGGCCGTCAGCTCCGTTCGCCTCGCCCTCCTCCCTTCAAACGTGATCTCTGCGGGACTCTCGGTTCTGGATGTGCACTACGGTACCTCCGCACATTTGCACGCTCCGAATGTGAGTGTCACTTTGGCAGCCTCCTGCAGCATGGCGAACACAGGCTCCTTTCTGTCTGCAGGGCAAGCGTTGCTTTGGTATTCGTGCTCCTGGCAGCCAGCAGTTACTGCCTCTCAGTGGTTTGTTTCGTTACAGTCTGATGCAACGCTGCAGATATATGAGGTTCAGTTCTTGGGCCGAAACGGATGGACCACAATTTCCGACGGCGTCGGTGTTCATGGGGATGCAGGCACGTTGTCAGATGGATTGCTTTCAAGCTGGGTGCTGGCAGGCTCAGGCCATCCTATTGAGCTGATTTTTACAGCTTTGCAGCCAGACACCATAGTCATTGCAGACACCTGTGCCACAAGCTCCTCAGCTTGGGGTCCTGTTCCTCTCAGTCCATATACCGCGCACGTGTTGACCGTCCAGGGTGGGCTGTATAGAATGTGTTGGTGTGCGCGCGGTTTCAGCTGCAGCTTCAAGGAAGACTTTTCCGTCAATGCGGGACTGCTGACCGTTGTCGGTCCCAAGACCGTGCACAACACTTGCATTGGAGGGCACTCCTGCCATGTGGACCTTGACGGTCAATATCTATCCGATCGCAATCAGGTTTTAGTCCTCCACACATGTGCAGTGGAAGATGCATATGCTTGGAAGCTGACTGACCTGGGTACCTGGCGCCAGCTTTCCAGCAGCGGAGCAACCCTTTCCAGCAAAGCTGCTATCACATCTTCTGCAGGGTCATACAAACTGTGTTGGTGTAGTGGCTTCTCAGTCTGCGAGACTGCGTCTGATTTCTCTGTAGAGGCAGGCGAGCTTTGGGTACTTGGGGTAGCACCTCTTTTCCAAGCCCACACTTGCATCAGTGGTCAGAGCTGCGTTGTCGATCACCTGACTGGTCTGGGCTTGTCGAAGGATCAGGTCATGATCCTAGACACGTGCGGTACGCAAGCCTTACTGTACAGGGGCCTTGACGCCACTGAGCTTTTAAACGGAAGCAGCACCATCCTTACCTGGACAAACGAGTTGACGGTGCCGGGTGGTCAATACAGGCTGTGTTGGTGCAGCACCCAATATGCACAAGATGCCTGCGCCACTGCATCAGATTATCAGGTTGACTTTGGCCAGTTCACCATCCTCGGACCCTCGCCACTGCAGCAAACGTGGACATGCATTGCTGGTCAATCATGCCGAATCGATGGCAGCACTGGTTTTGGAACTGGGCTTCCAACTGAGATTGTGATCATGGACACTTGCGGTGCCCCGGACAGTCAGATTGTGTTCCACAGTGCACCTATCGGGGGCTTGTCCAGCTCATGGGAAAAGTCTCTGTTGTCCATTCCTGGTGCTTCCTACCGTCTTTGCTGGTGTGCAATCGCATCATATCCGTGTACGATGGCCGAGAGTTACAGGGTTGACTTTGGCCAGCTGCTGGTGCTTGGTCCTTCTCCGCTAATGCAAGATCGGACATGCGTGTCTGGCAGCAGGTGCGAAGTCGATGGATTCCTGGGCATGGGCTTATCCAGCTCAGATCTTGTGGTTATGCAGGACACATGTGCAGACCACCGTTCGCGAATCGGCCTGCCAGCAGGTGGGTGGCTGATATCGCTGATGCCAGCAGCTGGGAGCGCATACATGTCGGCGGAGAGCGTGAGGAGCAGTAACGGCACCATTATTTTCAACACTCTCACGGCAACAGGAGGCCAGTACAGGCTTTGCTGGACGAGCTGGATGGCCCTTCAGGTTGACATGTTTGGCAACAGCAGCGAAAATTCTAGTATCGAGGAAGCAGTAAGTTTCCTAGGCAGTTGCAATGACACGCTTGGCGGCAACAGGACTTGCGCACTACCGCAGATGCCTGGCCGCTTGATTCTACCTACTGGCATGATCGACATTGGAAGGCTCACGCTGATGGGTCCCGCTCCGTTGGATCAGATGCACACGTGTGTCAGTGGACAGCGCTGCAGTTTCGGCGGCATCACCGGGATGCATTTGGATGTTCGGGACCAGATCGCTGTGATGGACACCTGTGGAATTCCCGGCAGAATGGAGTCGTCTTCGGTTCGGCCCTTTGCTTCCTGGGTAGACTTTGGAGCCACGACGCTTCCCGGTGCCACTTACCGGCTTTGTTGGTGCAGCGCGGCTGCGGGCTGCAGCTTAGCGGAAGACTTTCTCGTGGACTTCGGCAGGCTGTCCATACTTGGCCCCACGCAGTCTGAGCAATTCACGTGCGTGTCGGGCCGCTTGTGCACCGTGAAAGGCTTGCTTGGAAGAAGCTTCTCCAGCCTAGATCGATTGGCGATTTTTGACACCTGTGGACTTCCTCCAGGCAGCAGCAGCCTGCCTCCGATCCAAGGAGGGCCAACCCCCCTGGTGCCACGAATTCCTTCAGACGGCACGGGAATTTCGACCTCAAGTGGAGCTGCTGTTCAGTGGGATGGAAAGTTCACTGCGTTTGGTGGCTTATATCGCTTGTGCTGGTGTGCTGGATCTCCAACAGGTGCCTTTGACAACCCAGCCCAGGATGCTTTAGACTCCCTTTGGAGTGGGGTTGCTGGGGTTGTACCGAGCGTTGCAAATGGAAGCAATCTCTCCAGTCGCCGCCTCGCCGGCTCCTTCGCAGAATTTACCAACTCGAGCAACGTCTCAAACTTGACGGATCCGGGCTTCCTCTGTCAGCAGGCCTCGCAGTTCCGGGTGGATGTTGGAGAGCTGCTGCTGATCGGGCCGTCACGGCTTCCAGCCGCCACCTGCGTCAGTGGCCAGACTTGTGTGATCGATGTTGTCACCCAGCCTTCCGAAAATTTCATTCTAATGGACACCTGTGGTGAGTCTGTCTCAAGCCTTGGAGGCCCGGCCGTGGGCTCTTCCGTGGTGTCTTGGGGCCCACAAGCGCTCGTAGGCGCGGGTGGAACCTATCGACTGTGTTGGTGCTGGAACGATGCTGCCGTGAATACCAACTCCTCCAATGCCACTGGAGGCTCATCACAAGTTTCAGCTCTTGCCATTCGAGTCGACGTAAATGCATCAAACACATCAAACGTGTCGCGGGGTTCACATGAGCCATGTCAGCAGATGCAAGACTATGCGGTGGAAGTAGGGCCGGTGCTTCTGCTGGGTCCATCACCACTGCAACAAGATCGAACTTGCGTGAGTGGACATACCTGCACGGTGGAAGGGATAGTTGGCACTGAGCTGGAAGATCTTCTGGTTCAAGACACTTGTGGCAGTCCCTCCTCTTTGGTGTTGCCTGTGAACTACAGCACTGTCGATCATCGATGGCAGCTACCAGTTCTGACGCAGCAAGGTGGCACATACAGGCTTTGCTGGTGCTCGGGGATGTTCTCATGTCGCTTGGAAGACCTCCGTGTTGACTTTGGCACCTTGCACTTGCTCGGCCCAATGCCTCTATCTCAGCACCGGACCTGCATTAGTGGATGTCCCTGTACCGTGGACAGACTCGAGATTTATCCGCCGGAGCTCGCAGGAATGTCTCTTCAAGTTCAGCAAACGTGCGCATCGACGCAGCTCCTGGGCGGCTTCCCGACCGATGCAGCTGGGATAGACACGTCAACACGTTCTGCAACTTGGTCAGAGATCACGGCTTCCGGTGGCATCTACAGCTTGTGTTGGCATGTGGAGCCTGATGCAGGGCTCACAAATTTCACTGGAAATGGTTCGCTGCAACAGTCGGGAAATGAGAACCATAGCCTTCGAAATAGCCTGCCTGTAGACCACTCGGTGTTCATGGGCCAGCTCCTTCTCATTGGCCCGGCCAGGGATCATGGAGTGACATGCATCAGCGGAGGCCGCTGTGCCGTGAGGGTTCGTGGGCTTCATCTCTCCGACTCAGACTTCATGGCAATTCTCGACACCTGTGGTGTCAGCACGTCCTCGCAGCAGCTCGCCGCAGTACAGCAGTTGGAATACACGGGCGCACAGGCCGTGCTTGTAGATTGGCCCGGCACCTCCATGAAGATGGATGGCGGCCAATATCGCATGTGCTGGTGCTCCGGGCTGGTGCAATCAGCCGCTGGGGCCAACGCCTCCAACACATCGCAGCTCTCGCAGCCCTGCGACTCGGCTCAGTCCTTTCGGGTAGATACTGGAAGCCTCTCTGTGCGCGGCCCAAGACCCGTTCTTCGGACGTGTCTTGTGGGAAGACCATGTCTTCTCACAGAACTGGACGGCTTTGCTTTGAGTCCGTCAGACCAGCTGCTGCTTCTGGAGACTTGTGGCAGTCCTCGGGTTGCCGATGGCGGGCTCTCACAGAGCCTCCGCGAGGAGATGTCTGTCAGGTTCACAATCAGTCGGGCTGGCAGCTACCGCCTGTGCTGGTGTGGTGCAAAGCCTTGGAGCCCGAACACGACGGCGTGCTCAAGCCCATTCGAGTTCACAGTGGATGCCGGCGAAGTTTTGGTGTTGGGACCAGTGCCGTCACAGCTCAGGACGTGTGTGAGTGGACTCCGCTGTTCGTTGGAGGGTCTGCTCGGCACTGGACTTGACGAAGACGATCGTGTGCTGGTTATGGACACCTGCGGCAGTCCCAACGTGGTACCCCTGTTTCCAGCAGCAGGTCTTTCTCAGGAAGTTGGCAGTAGTGGAGCTTATGTGTCCTGGGGGAATGCTGTGATCACCTCGAAGGGAGGAGCGTATAGACTGTGCTGGTGTAGTCGAAACTTCAACACCAGCCATTCGGAAAATGCGTCTGACCCAGAATGCAGCTTGCCAAGTGCATTTGGAGTCGACTTCGGCACGCTTGTGCTACGTGGACCTGCAGAGCTTGCAAACCCACTTTACTGCATCTTGGGTGATGATTGCGTCATGCAGCCTGTTTCTGGCATGTACACCAGCGCGTTGGATTGGGTTCGTGTGCTGGACACATGCGGCGTTGATGCACAGCAGCCTGCATACCAAGCTGACATCTCGCTGCAAGTTCTGTCTATGGCATATGCGAGATCAAATGTCAGTGCTGATGTCAACATGACTGGCGGCGAGAACCAGTCCAGCGTGATAATTCCAGCTGCAGGCATTCCTGCTGCCGGTGGCCAGTACCGGCTCTGTTGGTGTGGTCATGAGTCGAAATGCCTAGCTGCTTCCAGCTATCGGGTGGACTTCGGCAGCATATCATTGACTGGGCCGTTGCAGGGGCAATCTCGGACATGCGTCAGTGGCAATTCTTGCGTAGTCAGTTCCATTCTTGGATACGGCCTTTCGAACGAGACCAGTTTCCTTGTCATGGACACTTGCGGTCAGTCTGGTGCTGTCCAGGGCGCATTCAGCGGTCTCGCAGTCTTGTCGTCTGGAGCAGCCGTGCAATGGTCGGCTGAGCCAGTAACAGGTGGATTGTACCGTCTATGCTGGTGTGGAGCTGCCATGAACTCGAGGAATGCCACGCAAGGTCGATGTGATTCTAGCTGGAGTTTCAAAGTTGATTTCGGCGGGTTGATCGTGCGGGGCCCGTCGCCGCTGTCGCAGACCTTTACATGCATTGCAGGACAGCTGTGTCGCTTCGACGGAGTCAGGGGTCAGGATCTGTCCTTTGCCGACCAGTACTTGGTGCTGGACACTTGCAGTCGCAGCAGGCTGGCCACGGATGTCCTCGATGTTCGCATTGCATTTTCAGAGCAGCCTTTCAATTCGTCGCTCCAAAGTGATGGGATGGTGTCAGTTCCTGGTGGTCAATACAGATTGTGTTGGTGTGGACGGGCCAGCACTCAGAACTTGTCGCACCATCTCTCTTGCAGTCTTCCGACCGACTACCTCGTGGACTTTGCAAGTATTTCCGTGATTGGACCCTCGTCCTTTGATCAGCATAAAACTTGCATTGCTGGAATGAGCTGTGCGATTCGAAACATGGAGGGCTACTTTACTTCCAGCGGTGATGCCCTGATGGTGGCCGCCACGTGTGGCCAGAGTGAAGCGTTGATCCATGGTCTTTCTAGGTCTGGACTCATGCTGCCAGATGCACAGGTCAATTCGACTTTCCGTTGGCTCTTGACATCCACGTCTGCACAAGGGGGCCAATATCGTCTGTGCTGGTGTGCCGATGGCCAGGTGTGTTCAACCATGGAGCACTTCACGGTTGATGTGGGCGCTTTTTCTCTTCTGGGGCCTACGCCGATCCAGCAAGCATTCACATGCGTGGCAGGTCGCGAGTGTAACATCGATCCCATTACGGGCTTTCATCTGAACGAGAACAGGCTGGTTGTGTTGGAGACCTGTGGCTCGGAGAGAGGTGTTCTACGCATCCCCAACAGTGGCTTGTCCGTGTCTTCTGGTGAAGCCAGCTGGGGCCCTTTGCCTCTGACTGCTGCAGGGGGGCAGTACCGCCTTTGCTGGTGCGCTGACCTGGTCATGAAGCCTCTCAATGAGTCACACAATAAATCAAGAGGCTGCCGCATCTTTTCAGATTATACTTATGACATCGGCAGCTTCAGCATTCTTGGGCCAGCGCCAGTTTTGCAGAGCCGGACATGTGTTAGCGGCCAAAACTGTCAGCTTGATGGCTTCACTGGGCACGGCCTCAGCAACCTGGACAAACTTCTAGTTTTGGACACTTGCGGTGAACCCACCTCCGTGGTGCCAAAATGGACCTTAGCTGGTGGCAGCGTCGAGACAACTGGCAGTGGCACGGCTGCCTCATGGCAAGCCATCGTGAGTGCTGCTGGTGGACAGTACCGCTTGTGCTGGTGTGCGACCGTGCAAGTCAATGAAACAGGCGCAGGCCAGTTTTGCACACATGCTGGAGATTTTGCCGTGGACATGGGTGCAATGTGGCTGCTGGGTCCGACACCGTTGTTGCAAGACCGCACCTGTATCAGCGGGCAGACTTGCTCGTCGAAGGGCATGGTGGCTACGACAGGCGGTGGCGTGTTTTTGTCTGGTCGAGTGCACGTGCTTGACACATGTGGACAGGTCGGATTCTTGGATAGGTTTCCAGCAGGTGGACTTAGTGGTGAGGTGCGACCTCTGGAAGGCATTGTGACCTCACCGCTTGCTGGCGACCTGCTGGACGTTCGCGGCATGTCCGTTGTAAGCTGGACCTCTGAAGCCTTAACAGTTTCTGCAGGCCAGTATCGTCTTTGCTGGTGTGCCCTCCTTCCGGGTCCAACGAACATCTCGGGCTGCGTCTTGACATCCGAATTCAGCGTAGACTTTGGAGCCCTTCACTTGTACGGCCCGCTCCCTGGCCATCGCCGCACATGTGTCAGTGGATACGCCTGCTCATTCGGCGGTATTGCCGGCTATGGCCTGAGCCAGAACGACACCATCCTTGTTATGGAGACTTGTGGTTCCAATCATGTCGCAGCCCGCTTTCCGTGGAGTGGCGTCATCGACCACATCTCTGCTAGTGGGTCTCGTATGAGCTGGGGGGAGACCCCCATATCTGCACACGGTGGTAGCTATCGCCTCTGCTGGTGCAGTCAAAGTGCTTCGTGCAGGAGACCAGACGCTTTCCCCTTTGACTTTGGTGAACTCCTGTTGGTTGGGCCTGAGCAGGTGGACCAAACATGCGTCGCCGGTCAGATCTGTCACCTTGACGGCCTGCCGCGTTCCTGGTCCGAGCTGAATTCTTACATGATTTTGGAGACTTGCGGCATAGCCGATATCATCACTGCAAGTCCCGTTCTGTCGGCACAGGGCCAAGCAAACTGGGGCGCAAGCCCTCTGACGTCGGCTGACCTTCAGGCGGGCATCTACCAGCTGTGCTGGTGCACTCCACTGCCTCCTTTGCCGTCTGTGAACTCTACACATTCGAACCAATCCGAGGGTAATCTGACAGGCCCATGTCGCCTGTCTTTGCAGCACCAGGTTACCGTTGGCACGCTGATGATGGTTGGTGCCAGCGCAGAGCAGCAACGAACCTGTGTCAGTGGGTTGACTTGCGTGATTGATAGCATTGAGGGCTATCATCTGTCAATGCATGACAAAGTGCTTATCATGGAAACCTGCGGCACTCAAGTACCGACTGGTTTTTCTTGGACAGCACAAGCCAGCAACGCATCGGCGGGAAGGCTAAGCTTTTCATGGGGTGCCGTCCATATCACACCTCCAGGAGGCTCCTACCGCTTGTGCTGGTGTGGTGCATCCATGGCTTGTAGCCAGGTATGGGAGTTTAGGACGGACTTTGGGCAATTACAAGTCCTTGGACCTGCACCCTTAATGCAGCATCAGACATGTGTGTCGGGGCACCTCTGCCGCCTCTCTTCTGGCATAGAGCATGCGAATAGCAGTGACAGCGTTGGACTGCACTATGCCGTTTTGGCAATGGACACTTGCGGTGGAGTGTCTGTTCCTCAAGGCTTTCCGCTGCATTGGACCAGAAACAGCAGCTCGAATGCAACGGCTGACAGTCTCTTGAGTGCATCGATGCAGGAGATCGCAACAGCTCCTGGCAGCACATATCGTCTTTGCTGGTGCGGCATACCTGAAACAGCCACAGGCTGTAGATTGCCAGGGGACTTCCGAGTTCATGTCGGAGAGTTGACTATGATTGGTCCTCGGCTTAGCTCCCATACATGCATCAGCGGCCGCCTTTGCAGTCTCGAAGATCTGCAGGGTTTACATCTCAGTAGCTCCAATATGTACATGGTTTTGGACACATGTGGTGTGGCAGCATCTGCTTGGCCTGAGGGTTATGCAGGATTGGTCAAACCTGGCATCGTTATTCCGGATGAAACCGCCACGTTGGCTGGGCAGTACCAGCTTTGTTGGTGCGCCAGCTTGCACGTCGCGAATGCGAATGCGACTGAGAATTTCAACGCGAGCTTGCCATGCCGACGCGCAGAGGACTTCGCCTCTTCCTCTGGCACATTCACCATCCTTGGTCCTGCCCCCTTGCAGCAGCAACGAACATGCATAAGCGGACAGACTTGCGTCCTCGACGGCCTGACCGGTTTAGGCCTATCAAATTTGGATTTGCTGGCTGTGCAAGATACGTGTGGCCTTGCATCGGCCCCTTCAAGATTTCCTGCGGCAGCCAAGCTTGAAGTACTGCCAGGCCTAACTGCGCGAGTTGCTTGGGAGCATACAAGGCCCTCGTCTGCTGGAGGTAAGTATCGGCTTTGCTGGACTCGACTCGATGCGGACTCCAGCAATTCCTCCATGCCTGCAATCTCCTTCAAAGTTGACATTGGTGAGCTTCTCCTGCTCGGCCCGTCTCCTTTGGAGCAGTCCGCCACTTGTGTAAGCGGTCAGAGCTGTGTTCTTGACGTGCTCAGTGGGTATGGCTTGGATTCGGGCGGGCATCTTATGCTTGCTGACACATGCGGAGTTCAGGCGGAAGACAGGCTCGGACTCCCAAGTGATGGGCTTACATCTTGGGGTGCCAACGAAACTACAGTTTCCTGGTCCCAAGCTTTCACAGCTGCTGGGCAGTCCTACAAGCTTTGTTGGTGCGCGGTGGGACTTTCTTGCAGTGCGGAGCACTTTATCGATGTAGGTGTCCTGAGCCTCATTGGACCCGCGCCCCTCAGCCAGGGCCGGACCTGCATTTCTGGGAGCCCAGCAGGCTGCAGCTTCGCCTTGTATTTGGAGCCCTTCCAAGCGCTCTCGCTTAGCAACAACAGCTCCGGCCAGAGCCCGAGCAACATCCTGATCTCGGCCAGCTGCGGTGTAGCGACAGCGACGGCGGACCTGCCGCCGGCGCAGTTCCTGGGGCCCTTGGGCTCAGCATCCTGGCCCTCGCTTGTGCTTCCAGGTGGTGAGTATCGTCTGTGCTGGTGTGCGCAAGATGCCTGTGAGATCTCCGAGTCCTTCCGGGTGGATCTGGGCAGGTTCCTCGTGCTCGGTCCGAGTCGGCATCATCAGGCGACTTGCCTGGCTGGGCAGACTTGTCAGATGCACATCCCAGTCACAGGTGGCTCGGACTTTGACCGCCTGCTGCTAGCAGAAACTTGTGGAGCGACCCGCAGCAAGAGAAGGCAGCCCTTTCCAATGATACCAGAGGTTCACAGATCCGCACCAGACGTCCTGTCCGTCAGCTGGGGCACAGCAGCTCTTGTGCAGTCAGGTGGTGAGTACCAACTTTGCTGGTGTGGGCATTCATGTGGCGATACATCCAGTTTCATCTCCACAGCGGGCAGCTTGTACTTGCGAGGCCCTGCACCCCTGCAGCAGCAGTTCACATGCCTCGCAGGTCAAAGCTGTTCCTTGGAGACCTTGTCCGGCTATGGCATGTCCAGTGCTGGAGTCTTGCTTCTCATGGACACTTGCGCAATCGCTGCCTCCACGACGTTGCAGTTTACACCGGGCGAGCCCGAGGGACTTATCAGTGACTATGTCCCTCTCGCAGGTGGAAGCTATCGTCTCTGTTGGTGTGCGCTTCTTGGGAGCACGAATTCCTCTGGTTGTGACTTGCCTTCGTCTTTCCTAACTGATGCTGGCACAGTGCACATAATTGGTCCAGTGCCGTTGCAGCAACAGTACACTTGCGTCAGTGGCCAGACATGTACACTGCTGGGGCTTCAGGGTTCCTCCCTGCAGCCAAGTGATTCCTTCGCAGTTCTGGACACATGTGGAAGCCTGGATGCGTGGCCGCTCAATCTTGTTAAGGTGTTGAACTTGCAGCCTGATGGCTTGACTGTCAGCTGGCGGGAAGATGCCCTCTCCACACCCGGGGGGCAATACCGACTCTGCTGGTGTGCCACCGGTGCACGGTGCCAAGATGCAAGCTCTCTGCGAGTAGATTTCGGAAGTCTGACGTTGATCGGACCAGAGCAATTGTTCATGGACCGCACATGCATCAGTGGCCGAACATGTTCGTTCGAAGGGCTGATCAGTGGCTCAGGGCTGCTTGTTCTTGATACCTGCGGCTTACCATCAGTGGGCAAGAGATGGGATGGAACCCCAACGAGAATGCCACATTTCATGAGCCAGCTGGAGCACATGGAAATCGAGGGCGAGCGAGTGACTTGGGGCAACTTGCAGTTCAGCGCAGCTGGCGGAGCGTTTCGTCTGTGTTGGTGTGCAGGCAACAGCACATGCCTCGTACCCGAGGACTTTCAGCTGGACATCGGCCAGCTCTTGTTGATTGGTCCAAGCTTTGGACACACGCAGTCCTGCATTTCGGGGCAGGTTTGTTCCATATCTCGCGTCAAAGGGTGGCAACTGTCCGAGTCCGACAGGATCATGGTGCTGGACACGTGCGCACAACCTGGGAATGCGACGCAGATTCCTTCAGCTATTGTAGGCTTTGCAGCCGATGGTATGAGTTGGTCTGCAGTCCAAGAACTCAATTTGACGGATGAATTGCGTGGCTCCACTTACGGTCCACTGATGCGCTTCGAGCTGGCTGGATACGTCAGTGCGCAGGGTGGGAGGTATCGGCTCTGCTGGTGCGGAGCCTCGGCGGTGTGCTCTTCGTCCGAGGACTTCTACGTGGACTTCGGGGAGCTCCAACTCCGGGGACCTTCGCACCAAAGTGCGACTTGCGTCAGTGGACAACCCTGCTTCCTGAATAATCTCGCTGGTCACTACGTGCCAGAGGGTCAAGTTGCAATTTTCGACACTTGTGGCGCCCACGGTGTGGGATTGGATGGTGCCGGCCTCAGCGAGTCAGTCGGAGGTCCTAGAGTCCCAGATGCAAAGCCTCGTGGTATCTTCCCTCCCTAGTGCAGACTGATTGCCAAGGTGTACACATCTCGCGATCTCTTGCTTCAGCACCAGCGCATGGTTCTGGCATCTTGCTGTCCACATTGACCGCCAGCGGAGGTGCCATGTGTCATGCACATCCAGCAGCTTTGAGCCTATCCCTTTCGGCAGGCAACTACTGGCTGTGTTGGTGTGCAGGCTCGGAGTGCCGGTTTGTGCTGACTTTCTGTTTGTGCGCGTCATGCGGAGCCTGCGATCTGCGAGGGGATGTTTGCTCCAGCGCGGATGAGTTCATTGGCCCGGCTCTCAGGGTTCATCTATTCTTCGACAAGAACTCTCAATCTCTTGGCAGGCATTGGCCGCTTCACGTTGCAGGGCCCCGCACCCCTCCAGCAAGACCGAACTTGTATCGCGGGTCAAGAATGTGAAGTGGATGCCTTGACAGGCCCGCCCGGCGAGTGTGGACGGTTTTGTTGAAAATACTTCACCTTCATGAAGTGTATCTGTGACTTCTGCAAGTTGCTAGAGGCCTTCATTTGCCAAGTGACGGTATGTATGCCGTTCTGGACACCTGTTTCGCCCTCAGTGGCAAACACCATCGTTGGAAGATGTTGGATGTTCAATGTGATCAAGGTGGCCGCAACTTGGTGCTTTTCTTGGATCCCGTCGATGCCCCGGCCTCAGCAACGTGTCAAATGCAGGGGGAGCAGCCAAAGCAGGGTCAACAACCTTCTGTGCCTGAAAGGTTGCGAATGCATCAGATGGCGGAGTAGTTTTTGCTCCAGACGGTGCACGAATGAGTTACACAGCTGCAAAGTTCGTATGCGACACATCATGCAAACTGACGTTGAGACCTTGAGCAGTCTGCAACAAAGGCTCTTTTGGGCAGCTGGCCTTTGCTGAAGGGGGGTGGCGAAGCTGCAGCTGGTAAAGTCTGCCGCAGCGTAAGAAATCGCCAGACCCAGACAGCATTCGAGGATTTTATTCCAGTCGCCCTGCAGTCCAAGGCAGTACCGACTGTGTTGGTGTGCCCCCTGGGTGCGTGCCCCAAGCTTCAACAGCTCCTCGGCATAGCATTCTTTAGCGTCCATGGCCGCACTTCAGATGTGTTGCTCGAGGCAGCGCAAGCAGCTGGAGCAACGGAAGCAACGAAAGCCTGGGCACCCAAGTGTCTCTTGGTCTCGGCGCCTGCGTACTTTCCCACGAGCCTCTCGGACCTGCAGAATTGGGGGGGTTGATGTCGTTTGTGAGTTTGTGTTGATGGAATCAGTGCTTGATGAGTATATCCATCGAGCGGAGACAATTGTGCATTGCAGAGACTGTTGTGGGCATGAATGTCAGGTTTACCTTTCTAGTTTTGACTCGTTAATCCTTCCATCTGTCTCAGCCCTGGTGGTGGAAAAGCATCCTGGATGGCCTCAACTAATCACAGTCGCCACAAAACGCGAGTTGGATGGCCAAGCGTTGCGAACGACCAGTACTGTAGCCAGTAGCTGTACGGAGGCCCAAGAGCTCGTCCCCGTACACGCCACGGACGCCCCGTGAAAGCCAGGCGACTGGCGTGAACCCACACCCCCTAAACGCCTCAAGCCTATGGACGACACCCCGCTCGAACTAATGAATCTTCTGAAAGCCCCGGTTCAGGAAGCCGCAGGAGGCGGTTCGTAAGTTTTCCACCAACATTAAGAAAACAGGTTCATTGGACCAGCAAATCATTGTCTCGGTTCTGTTGGCCAAAGCTTTCCGCGCGCCCACGTCCCATCAGATTTGATCCGCCAAAAGCTTCGAATTTGATAGATCATGCCGTTGATCGCCTAAGTCTAAGTGCGAGTCATCTTGACAAAGCCGAGTCCTGAACATGCCCGTCAGAAAAGTGTAAGTGGCTCATCAGACTGCGCAGTGGGCCATGCTATTGACAGGTACGACATATTAGGCTATTTTTGATCGTTTGCACGAGACTAACTCGCGAACAAAAAGAAACCTGCAAGGAGTCCTGGAAGTCTTCCTTTCCCGTACCAGGTGCAAAAACGGAGCGCGAAGACAAAAACTGCAACAAGGACAGAGCACGGTAAGAACTCCTTGCTGGGACGCGGCACTTTCAGTGTGACAAAGTCACCTCCTGCAAAGTGCAAAGATGCTATGGAAGCAGCAGAAGATGCAAGACTTGTTGAGACTGCCAGGTTCAGTCGTGATTCCCATGCAGGAAAGTCGAGTGTGCGCTCGACTCCATCAGGGCACCATGCTGTATCATAGCAGCTCCCAGCATTCATGTTGCAAGACGCGACGAACTCGATCGCAGCATATTGTGTCCCAGTCATAGTGCTGGGTTCCACTACTCATCCATCTTCCCATGGTGTACTGAAGCCGGCGCTTCATCTGTCAGAGGAAACGCGCGCCGTGTCGAATCACCCTGATGGAAACCCGATTAGATGCCAACGGTTCAGATCCCGCAAGTTGCGCATTCACGGGGCAAAGACTACGGAGGTTTCTGCACTCTCAGGAGCTTCGGGACGCATCCGAGCAATTTCCTCCGCGTTCAAAGCCTCTTCAATCTGCGTCCGGCCATTGAAGTTTGATTTGCATTTCAGCGACAAGTTCCTTTTCGTTAAGTCATCGTGCCTTCATGCACGCGCACTTCAACGCGACTCCAAACCATGTCTCGTGCACCGAGTCTGTAGCGAAAGAACGCACTGCCACCTGCCCAGCGGTTGCTGACTTAAATCAGCGGTCCTTTCAGAACGGCTGCGACACTAAGGTATCGCGTGGACGTTGGTTCGATGCTGGTTGCGGGTCCAAGTCCCCTTCAACAAGACAGGACTTGTATTGCAGGTAGAACCTGCAATGCAGAGCGGATTCATGGGCAGAGCCTCAGTGCCGCGGACAGACTTCAGATTCTCGCGACTTGTGGTGGGACTTTGCCGCTGCGCTTCCCCATGGACGGACTCATTGTACCCGACCTCAACGCGTCTCAGCCACTCAGTGGTATGGGGCTTGGGTCCGAGATCGTTTCCGCACCTGGCGGCCTGTACAGACTGTGCTGGTGCAGTGGCTTGAAGGCGTCCGGCTGCTTGCGTGGCACCGACTTCCAAACTGATCTGGGCGCCATGACCGTATTGGGGGTCAGTCCCCACCAGCAAGACAGAACGTGCATCAGCGGCAGAGTATGCGCTGTAGATTCTTTGCGGGGATATGGCCTGAGTGAGTCTGACAGCTACATGATCTTGGACACCTGTGGTGAAGCTGTCACGACGGTCGGCATTGGTAAGGCAAGCTCGAGCTCACATCCGAGGATCAGCTGGGCCGATTCATTGACGGCAGCCGGAGGCGAATACCGATTGTGTTGGTGCTCAGGACTACCGTCAATGCCGACGGATGACTTCAACGCTTCCAACACATCCATCGTGACAGCAGGCAGCAGCATGACCGGAAACGTTTCCGTATGTTCGGTATCTTGGGACTTTGGCATCGATGCCGGCAAGCTTCTCTTGCTAGGGCCGGCGCCTCTTTTCCACCGCAGCACGTGTGCGGCGGGCCAGACATGCGCCATCAATGTCGCTGGAACGGGACTATCACCCGCAGATCTGCTGTTGGTGCAAGATACGTGCGGCCAGCTGTTTGCATCGACTCCTTTCGCAAGCCCAGGCAGCTTGCACCTGTCATCGTACAACAGCAGCAACATCAACGCCTCCATTTTGGCCGCTCAGCTGTCAAGAGCATGTTATGCAGTCATGCCGTGTCATGTCGTACTATTAGCATATTGTGGCATGTGCATAGACGCGGAACTGAATTGTCAGCCGAAAAATCTGAGGATGCAACTCGATCAGCAACTGCTGATCTGGGCCGAAGTGTCACGGCCGGGGAATATCGCCTATGCTGGTGCCAGGGCATGTCAAACGCGTCGGGCTGCCGTGTCGAGCATTTCGACGTCGACTTCGGGGTGCTGCAGATCTTCGGCCCAACCTTGCAGCAGGACCGTACATGCGTAAGTTCGATGGCCTGCCAGATAAGCGGGATCGAGGGCACCGGTTTGGGCAGTGGTGATTCTTTGATGTTACTGGAGACTTGCTCTTCCGGAGCTACGCTGGATGGTCTTCCAGCAGTGCCCTCGTCAACTCTCTCTGGTTCGAGCTTCGACTGGACTGCCAACTTGACAGAGATTGTCATGAGCTCTCCAGGTGGCTTGTATAGGCTCTGCTGGTGTATGCGAGGCTATCCGTGCGATCTGATCGAGCACTTCGTCGTCGACATGGGTGCTCTGCATGTGATCGGTCCTGCCCCGTTAACACAGCATCGAACGTGTATTGCAGGCCGTGCCTGCAGCATGGGTCAGATCTACGGACTTAGCCTAGGCTCGACCGACAGGCTGCAGCTGCTAGAGACCTGTGGCGCATCCGACAGCAAAGTGCCACTGCGATTCCCCATGAACGGACTCATTGTACCCGACCTCAACGCGTCTCAGCCACTCAGTGGTATGGGGCTTGGGTCCGAGATCGTTTCCGCACCTGGCGGCCTGTACAGACTGTGCTGGTGCAGTGGCTTGAAGGCGTCTGGCTGCTTGCGTGGCACCGACTTCCAAACTGATCTGGGCGCCATGACTGTATTGGGGGTCAGTCCCCACCAGCAAGACAGAACGTGCATCAGCGGCAGAGTATGCGCTGTAGATTCTTTGCGGGGATATGGCCTGAGTGAGTCTGACAGCTACATGATCTTGGACACCTGTGGTGAAGCTGTCACGACGGTCGGCATTGGTAAGGCAAGCTCGAGCTCACATCCGAGGATCAGCTGGGCCGATTCATTGACGGCAGCCGGAGGCGAATACCGATTGTGTTGGTGCTCAGGACTACCGTCAATGCCGACGGATGACTTCAACGCTTCCAACACATCCATCGTGACAGCAGGCAGCAGCATGACCGGAAACGTTTCCGTATGTTCGGTATCTTGGGACTTTGGCATCGATGCCGGCAAGCTTCTCTTGCTAGGGCCGGCGCCTCTTTTCCACCGCAGCACGTGTGCGGCGGGCCAGACATGCGCCATCAATGTCGCTGGAACGGGACTATCACCCGCAGATCTGCTGTTGGTGCAAGATACGTGCGGCCAGCTGTTTGCATCGACTCCTTTCGCAAGCCCAGGCAGCTTGCACCTGTCATCGTACAACAGCAGCAACATCAACGCCTCCATTTTGGCCGCTCAGCTGTCAAGAGCATGTTATGCAGTAATGCCGTGTCATGTCGTACTAGCAGCATATTGTAGCATGTGCATAGACGCGGAACTGAATTGTCAGCTGAAAAATCTAAGGATGCAGCTCGATCAGCAACTGCTGATCTGGGCCGAAGTGTCACGGCCGGGGAATATCGCCTATGCTGGTGCCAGGGCATGTCAAACGCGTCGGGCTGCCGTGTCGAGCATTTCGACGTCGACTTCGGGGTGCTGCAGATCTTCGGCCCAACCTTGCAGCAGGACCGTACATGCGTAAGTTCGATGGCCTGCCAGATAAGCGGGATCGAGGGCACCGGTTTGGGCAGTGGTGATTCTTTGATGTTACTGGAGACTTGCTCTTCCGGAGCTACGCTGGATGGTCTTCCAGCAGTGCCCTCGTCAACTCTCTCTGGTTCGAGCTTCGACTGGACTGCCAACTTGACAGAGATTGTCATGAGCTCTCCAGGTGGCTTGTATAGGCTCTGCTGGTGTATGCGAGGCTATCCGTGCGATCTGATCGAGCACTTCGTCGTCGACATGGGTGCTCTGCATGTGATCGGTCCTGCCCCGTTAACACAGCATCGAACGTGCTATAGCGGCCAATCATGCCTCTTGGATGGCTTGGTACAGATCGGCAGCACGGAGGCCAAGATCTTGGTGCTGGAGACGTGTGGAACATCCGCTCTCGTCAGGCCACCTTCTGGACATGCTATCCCATCCAGTAGCGACACATCGGGCAGAGCGGATGTCACTGGTCAAGTCCGTTTCGCCGCGGGTGGCCTGTACCGGCTGTGCTGGTGCGGCCAGCTGTTGCAGGATGCAAATGCCACAGGTATTCTGGGCAATGCAAGCGAGCAGTGCACGCTGGCGCAGAATTTCGGAGTTGACATGGGTGGCTTAACAATGCTGGGCCCGGCACCTCTGCAGCAAGACAGAACTTGTGTGGCAGGTGGGAGCTGCCTCCTTGAAGGCTTCCTGGGCACTGGCATGGAAGCAGGTTCCTTGCTACTCCTGGAAACTTGTGGGGTCGCTGCTTCGGCAGACTTCGGAGCATCAGGAAGACCGGGTCAACCAAGGGGCCCAACTGTGGCAGCTTTGCTGGCGTCGGGTGCCGCTTTCCGCTGGGAGGCACCAGTTCCTGCCGCCCCTTCTGGAGGAAGCTTCCGACTTTGTTGGTGTGGTGAGAAGCTGCCCCAAAACTTGACCAACTACACGAGCTGTGCCATTTCGTCCGACTTCACTGTGGACATGGGAATGTTGCATGTCATGGGACCTCTTGCAGGGGCCACGCAGCAGCAATTCACGTGCGTCGGTGGCCAGCGCTGCACTTTGGATCCTATCAGGGGCCTGGATCTGCTGCCTGGAGATCAAGTTTTGGTGTTGGACACTTGTGGCGCTCAGGGTATACCAGCCGATGTTTCAGGTACCTTCGTCGTCGGTGGTCTTCGCAATTCTGTGCTGGTATGGGATGTTCAGGCGGCTCCGCTTCCCGGTGGGCAATATCGACTGTGCTGGTGTGGGAGCCAAAGCATGTCCACGTCGAATCACACTTCCCAGCTACCGGCGGATTGCAAGACAGATGCTGGTTCCCTCAGCATATTATCTCCCACATTGCATCAGCAGCGAACGTGTGTCAGTGGACAGACTTGCTCCCTGGACGGAATCACTGGCTACTCCTTGTCCCCCGACGATGCAATTATGGTCCTGGACACATGTGGAGCCCCGACAGGTGTCATTAACATGCTGGTGGAAGCAGCCGTTGTCACACACAGTGGTGCTGCGGCCAGATGGGATGCAGCTGTGGTAACCGCGGCTGGTGGCATCTACCGACTTTGTTGGTGTGCTGGCCTGCGTGGGGAGGAAGGCTACACCAACTCTTCGTCATGCCAGACTCCAGCGGGCTTCACTGTGGACTTTGGGGACCTGCATCTTATTGGACCCAATCCGTTGCACGCCACTCGCACCTGCATTTCTGGACTGCCATGTGTGACAGCGGCTTTGGAAGGCTTTCACCTGTCCATTTACGACCGCTTCGTGATTCTGGACACCTGTGGTGAAAGGCTTGCCGTGGTTGGGGGTGCAGGCACGGAAATCTTGCTGGGGATGGCCTGTTGATGCAATTCTTAAGTCTTTTCTTTGCCAGCAAGCACGTCCCACTCTCCGTTTATCTCTCTTCATTCATCTGAAGCGCGCGCACTTAGCTCGTGCTCCTTCTCTGGGCCTGCTCGCTCGATCGCGTTCCCGGCCTCACTTTCGCTCCATTGCGTGCAACATGTAGCCTATGTTTTGCAAAGCTGTCGCGAGACACCGAAGAATTACAGTAAGCTGCGGCATGTTCTGTGAGCTGGCAGCATTCTGACAGGCTACGGAGTGCAACTTGGAGTTCAGGCAAGCAATGCCAGCCTGGCTGGTGGGACTATCGCATGGGACACAGGCGTCTTTGGCCCCTTGGCCGGCTTCATTGCTTCTAGCTGGATAGTTTAGTTCAGTTGATACTAGGAAGCTGCCATAGTCACAGCCTTTCGACGCTTGTATGATTGCGGTGTCCAGGTGATGTGATGGGAGGCCAGTACCGAATCTGTTGGTGCAGTCAAGATTTCCAGTGTTCCTTGGCGGAGGATTTCTCCGTTGACTCTGGGAGTTTATTCATGGTTGGCCCAGCTCCGCTCGGACAGCATCGCACTTGTGTTGCTGGGTTCAGCTGTTCGGTGGATGGCATCACTGGCATGGCCTTGAATGCAGAAGACACTTACCTTTTGCGGGACAGCTGCCACGCATCAACTGCACCTCCCGAAGGGCTACCGGATGCGGGCATGGCGATGCGGACCACAAGCGGGGCTGTCCAGTGGGGGGCGGCTGAGCACCATCTGACAGCGAAGGGTGGGGTTTATGCCCTGTGCTGGTGTGCTGCACTTCCGGGGGCATCCAACTCATCCAACAAATCTATGTGTTCCCAGTCCTCTTCCTTTGTGCAGTTCGGTTCCCTGACATTAATCGGGCCTAGTCCGAGAGATCAATCGAGAACTTGCTACAGCGGCCAGCAGTGTATGCTCAGCGGTTTCAATGGACTACATCTTGCAGACACGAGTCAGGTGAGAATACTCAGCAGCTGTCGAGGGGAGGAAATTTCAGGATGGCCTGATGACTTCCAGCTGCTCTTGCCATCAGAGAACTCAAGCGGTAGCATGGCTGTTCGCTGGGGCACAGTCTCAGCCGCTGGAGCAAGCTACCGCCTCTGTTGGTGTTTCGACGATTCCTGTGATTCTCAGGGCTCTTGGATTGATTTCGGCACGCTGCATCTGGCTGGCCCACAGCCTCTGCAGCAGCATCGAACCTGCGTTACAGGACAGCTTTGTGGTTTAGCTGGCCTCACAGGCTACGCCCTTCCGGCTTCCAGCCATGTGATGGTCTTGGAAACCTGTGGTGCCGACACAAGGGGATGGCGTGCCAGTGACGCTGTCGTGCTTCGAAATGATAGCAACATCTCCTTCTCGCTGACACAGCCAGGAGGCATGTACAGACTGTGCTGGTGCTCCGCCGTGGACAACCCCTGGTCATCGAATGTCAGCTTGACTTCCAGCGACTGCAGTCTGAGCAGTGATTTCCGCGTTGACATGGGAGCCCTTCTGGTCATCGGTGTGGCCCCGCTCACGCAACATCGCACATGCATCTCCGGACTGACATGCTCGTTCGATGTCGATGGACTCTGGCTTGCCACAGGGGACGTGGTTTCCGTTTTTGACACTTGCGGCTCAGAGGCTTCCAAGTACTCCGCAGCCCTGGTTGATCTGTGGGGCAACAGCACCGGCAACAGGAGCTTGGACAGCAGGGCTGTCTCTGGGGCTACGCTGCGACCCGGCACAATCCTCGCGTTGAGCGGTGGGTTGTACCGCTTGTGCTGGTGTCCAGGCTCCGTTCGCGATTGCATCGGCGGGCAGGATTTTAATGCAGATTTTGGGGCTCTCACCGTGATTGGGCCAAGGCCACTGAAGCAGATGAGAACTTGTGTGGCGGGACAAGCGTGTGCGCTCGATGGAATCGAAGGGCAGGACTTAAGTCCAGAAGCCAGCTTCGCAGTTCTGGACACCTGTGGCACCGTCACCAGCGCACCATTCCTGCCAAATGTAATCACTCACGATAGTCGTACCCTGCCCCTGAGCAGGTTTAGGCTGCAAGACTTCTCCACGACACCGGTCGTTGCTGGTCGATATAGTTTGTGCTGGTGCCCACGACCAGCCGCTAACGCATCCATGGCTGACTTTAACCAGTCAATGCCTTGCTTACTTGAAGATCACTCCGTGCCTGCAGGCACCCTGCACATCATTGGGCCCTCTCCATTGCAAAACACTCGCACCTGCATTAGTGGGCAAGCATGTGCAATTCACGGCTTGACGGGTGCCGGGGCCTATCATTTGACTCCCGGCGATCAACTTCTCTTGCTCGACACATGTGGAGCTTCGGGAGCCTTGCTTCAGCGGTCAGTGAGGCAACCCATGTCTGCACAGACGGCACTGGTTTTCAGCAGTGGGGTAATCTTCTCCTGGTCCGAAATGCAGTCAACTGCTGGTGGCAACTACCGAATGTGTTGGTGCGCTGCTGGCTTTGATTGCAGCACTGCTGATCATTTTCGCGTTGATGTCGGGGAGCTGCTTATTCTGGGTCCAACACCGCTCCTGCAGGACAGGACCTGCGTTAGCGGACGTCGCTGCAACGTAGAAGGTCTGCAACTGTTTCCCGCTCCAAGCCAAGGCAACTCATCTCTGAATTCGTCGCTTCTCTCTGTCATGGTACTGGACACTTGCGGGACCTTCTCTCTGCCAGCACGGCTAGCACCAGCAGGTGGTTCCGATGGAAGCGACTTGCTCCTTAGTGAGCAGGTCAGCTCCGCAGGAGGCATGCACAGGCTCTGCTGGTGCGGCATGCCGCCCTGTGAGAAGGCTACTCACTTCAATGTCGATGCCGGGCAACTGCTACTTCTAGGTCCAAGCCCATTGCAGCAGCAGATGACCTGTGTCAGCGGCCAGAGTTGCGTTGTGCAACTCAGCTCTTCCACCATGACCGCGACGGAGATGTCCATGCACACCAGTGTGTATCTACATGATGCTTGCCCTGCTTCCACACCGGTGAGCGCAGCTGCTCCAATTGCAGGTCCGCTGCAGCAGTCTGCTCCTGTCGTGCTGACACCTGCAGGTGGAGTATATCGGATGTGCTGGTGTGGCGCATTGCATGGAAACACATGTGCTCCGAGTGATTACCTTGTGGATGCCGGACAATTGTTACTGATTGGGCCGTCGCCTCATTCACAAACTCGAACTTGCATTGGCGGTCTTGCTTGCCGGTTCCACGACTTCGATGGGCTCTACCTACAACCTGAGGATCGACTGCTGCTGCTTGACACTTGTGGTCAGAACTCCTACATCGGTGTAGCAGCCTTCCTGCATCCTCCAGGATCGCAGTCAAACGACACGAATGCCACCGGACCTATGATCTCAGCGGTGTCAGCTGTGTCCTCTCTGCTGCACATCACGGGGGCAGGCGGCGTGTACAGACTTTGTTGGTGCTCTGCAGGCTTTGAATGCAATCTGCCAGAGAACTTCAAGGTTGACCTCGGGCAGCTGCACTTGCTGGCGCCCTCTCTGCTTGGAAAGACTTGTTTGAGTGGACAAGTCTGTCAGCTCGAGGAGGTCTTCGAAGGCTTCGCCAGTGATTCGATTCTGGTGTTGGAGACCTGCGGACTGGCAAGTCCGGTTGAAGGCTTTGGAGACTCAGTTTGGAGCAGTGCAAACTCGGAAATGTTCATTTCTGCGGCTGGGGGCATTTATCGAATATGTTGGTGTGCTGGCGGAAGCTTAGCCCCAAATGCCCCTTGTCACATTCCGGATTCTTTTGACACGGATTTGGGTTTCTTGATGGTCATCGGACCATCCCCGTTGCAGCAGTACCGGACCTGCATCGCAGGCCAGGCTTGCAGGCTTAGCCCTTTGCTTGGGCATTTCCCGGCGGGAGACTCCGTGGACTCCTTGGGGGCGCTTGCCATACTTGAGACCTGCGCAATCGCGATCAGCCCAGGGCTTCGGGCCCTGAGTTCGTCAGGTGGCTTCAATGGATCACAGTCCCCAGGCAGCCTAGTTCCCTGGGACATGGCTGAGAATGCTTCGGAAGTGCAGTGGCTCCAAGAAGGCGCACTTTACAGGCTTTGCTGGTGCTTGGATGCGCAAGGTTGCAGCCGCGTGGAGGACTACCGAACAGATGTCGGTGGCCTGCTGGTGGTTGGCCCTAGTCCACTCCTTCAGCTTCGAACTTGCATCAGTGGACACTCTTGCGCTTTCGACGGTGTGACGGGACTGGGTCTTTCATCTTCATACTACATCTCCCGAATTCGGCTTTATCAGGACGGTGCGACATCTCACGACGTCCGCGTCTGGGAACTCTACCACTCGGAGTCTCCGAACGGTCCCTGGATCAAGGCCTTCAATGGAGCCGCAGCCCCTGGTGTGGGTGAGCAGGAGTTTGGGGGCTGGTCGCCCTCAGCCAGCCCTTACTGGCGCTTGGTCGTGCTGCAGACCTACTCGGGCCAGGAGCCCCGACTACGTGAAGTCCAATTCGTGGCTGAGGGAAAGATCGTACGGCTAAGCTCCAGCCGGGTCGTCTCAGCTTCGGGACTTGTCCACTCTTCGGGAGGTGTCAGCTACCCTGCGAGCAAACTGGTTGATGGCAAGCTCGAAGACGACTCGCGTTCCTTGTTGAACAGTTGGCTGAGGTTTTGGCAGTGAGGGTCAATCACCATTGTGCGTTCTAAAGCGGAATCCCCACTTGACCACGTCTCGTCCTGCTATTAGTCTATCTACTGCTCGATGCAAAGTCTCTTGCTGCTCGGTAATTCTGACAGTGGGCAGTCACTTTGATTTCGAGCTGAGGTTGGATCCCTGCGGGCCTGCCTGCAGCCTACAACAAGTGGGAGGTCGTGTTCGACGTCAGAGGTGGTGATGCTTTCCTGGTGATGGAAACCTGTGGCTCTGCTGCCCTAGTCGACGGCCTTCCCGGCGCAGGGCTTACCGAGGAAGTCACATCAACAGGCGCCCGTGTGTCCTGGGGCGCTCTCACTGCGATCACTGCACGGGGAGGCCGATACCAACTTTGCTGGTGTGCGCGAGGCGGCGCCTGCTTGGATCCCGTCGAGGATTTCCGCCTGTCGATCGGAAGTCTTTCCGTTGCGGGCCCGCACCTCAACGAAGCTACATGTTCAAGTGGGCAGACTTGCGTCATAGAGGCATTCCGCGGCCAGGATCTTGTAGCAACGGACCTGCTCATGATCCTAGACACTTGTGGTATCGATGCATCGATGGGTGCGCTAATGCGGAAGGTTTCCAGTCTCGGAACCATTACAGTTGTGGAGTCCAGCGATGCCTCTGCAGAGTTCATGCGGACAACGCAGGCATCCGTTGCATTTGATGGTGAACTCATCTGGCCTGGTGGGAAGTATCAGCTCTGTTGGTGCAGGCCTGTCTTAGCGTCAGGTGCGCACTGCGAGTCGCCTGCAGACTTTAAGACATTTGCTGGTAGCCTTCATTTGTTTGGACCTTCTCCCAATCAGCAGCATCGAACGTGTGTTAGCGGGCGCGCCTGCCCTGCACAAGCTGTTACGGGATATGGTCTGTTTGCGGACGATCGAGTCTTACTGTTGGAGTCCTGTGGAGTACGCAGTGTTGTCGACCGCTTCTTCGCAGTGGACAGCTGGCAATTGAGCCAGGCTCTAAGCAGCACAGCGAATGAGACGTGGCTCTGGAATGCGACGACACCGCCTGAATCAGAGACTCTCGAGACTCTAGAGATGTTTGGCTGGGGAAACATACCCATCACCACCGCTGGGGGCAGGTACCGGATGTGTTGGTGCTCGAGGCATGCTCGGTGCTCAGAGCCTGCCGATTTCAGCCTGGATTTCGGGGAACTGTTGGTAGTTGGTGCAGCTACCAGCCATGGTTACACCTGCGTCTCGGGCCTTCCTTGTCAGATTGACGGCCTTCAGGGAGAGAGCCTCGGCATGAATCAGCATCTTGCCGTCCTTGACACGTGCGGCGTTGCCATGGATACGCTTGTCATGACAGGGATGTTTGACGGCTCATCCTTTTCCTGGGGCTCCACGCCCATCCTTCTTGCTGGTGGCACATACCGCTTGTGTTGGTGTGCATCCAGAGGCCCTGTGGATTTCCTCAACCTCTCAAACTCCTCGGCTTCCAATGCCTCTCTGGGCTCCTGTTCCAGCACTGACGACTTCGCATTGGATGTAGGCAGCCTGATGTTGCTTGGACCGTCGCCGCACTTTCAGTACTTGACTTGCACTTCAGGCCAGAAATGTCAATTTGACATGCTCCAGGGATTCGGTTTGACTGAGACCGGCTATGTGCGCGTGATGGAGACATGCGGCGTCCTTGCGGCAGCGGTGCAACGAATGCCTGTGCAAGCCAGCATCCTTCCGTCTACGGGCCGTTCCGCAGAAGCCAGCTGGGATGCACCGACCTCTGCAGCTGGTGGTGCCTATCGGCTTTGCTGGTACTCTGGCGCACGGAGCTTCAACCTTACCAACATGACAGATGAGGCCAGCGACCTTGCATTCAACGTGGACTTTGGCACTCTGCACCTGCTTGGTCCTGGACCTCTCCAACAGGACAGGACGTGTGTGAGTGGACAGACTTGCAGGGTAGGTGGCATTCAGGGTGCAGGAGCCGAGCTCGGCTCCTTCCTAGTGCAGGATACGTGCGGGACTCTTGGCATCCTGCCTCGCTTTACAAATGCAGGCCTCATGGACTCAGCGTTTGACGGGGAAGTATCCTGGGGGGCATCCAAAGTAACAGCAGCTGGGGGCTTGTATCGCCTCTGCTGGGCAGCCTTCCAGTCAGAGAACTTCATTTCAGCGATGGAGTTCAACCGCACATGGAACGGAAGCGACAACTTCACTCTTGTGCGGCTGGCAGACACGGCAGATGCCACCAATGCGACCGACAACATGACCAGAACCATCATACCGGACAGGATAGTGGATGTAGGCCAGTTCACCCTCGTTGGTCCTGCCCCCCTAGGACAAGACTTCACTTGCATTGCTGGCGAAGCCTGTGACCTTCGCCCGATCACAGGCTACCACCTGCGTCCGAATGATGTCTTTGCGGTCCTTGAAACTTGCGGGGAGATTTCCTCGGCCGCGGAAAGCACTACAACGGTGGGGTTCGAGATTCCGAGTAGTGGTGTTTGGCGTGCACCTACATTACCAGCAGGTATGTATCGGCTGTGCTGGTGTGCAGAGCTGGGTGCCGAAGGATTTAACGTCAGTGGATACAGCAACTTCAGCCGCGTTTCCTGCATGCTGCAGCAGGATTTCCAGGTGGATGTGGGGCATGTGTCTGTGCTGTCTCCAGATCCAGCTGACCAGAACTTGTCTGCTGTTGATGTCTCCTTTGTTCCGAGCAACGACACTCAGGCAGGGGATGCGGATTCCAAAAGCTATGCAAGTTTGCAGGAAGACCTGTGTTTGGCATGTTGTGAAGGGTAGCTGTGGCATATTTTGATAGATAGCCATGGAGCAGAGGCAGGATTCTGCATCACAAGGGGTGGGACTGTAGTATGTTGTTCTGCGTTGGGGCAGGAATATCGAAGGCGCATCGCATTCTTCACATACTAGTCAGAATTTGGCTTTCCTTGAGCTAGTATCGAATTCCGCCCCCTGCAGGTACTGGTAGCCTCCAGCCCGTGGCCTGCACAGGCGCGCACTTGCATCAGCGGACAGCACTGCAGCTTTCTCCTCCTGGGCCTTCAGCCTTCGGATCTCGTCCTGGCCCTCGACACCTGTGGACTCCCTGCTCTGATTCCTCGCTGGCCAGCTGGTGGCCTGAGCCTCCCCGTCGGCGGCACCGGCACGAACGGCACCGTTCCTGCAAATGGCAGCAGCATGCCGATCAGCCAGAGACTGTCCTGGGGAGGTGAGCCCGTAACCGCAGTGGGAGGTGAGTACAGGCTATGCTGGTGCAGCGCGAGCTCTGTTTCTTGCGACACCTTCGCCGATTTCCTTGTTGACTTGGGAAGCCTGCACCTCCTGGGGCCGCAGCCACATGCAATGACTTGCGTCAGTGGTCGTGCCTGCGAGTCCTCCCTTCAAGGCCACATGATCTCTACCAACGACAGCGTCTGGGTGCTGGAGACGTGTGGAGTACAAGGACACAAGTTTGAGTTCGCAATGCAAAGCACGATCTCGCAGCCTGAAGTCAGCACGGTGCAGATGGCAATCTCGCATTTGGTCGGCGTGGGGAACCATTACAAGCTCTGTTGGTGTGCCTCTGGCTGCCCATGTGCAGATGGTCGCGACTTCATTGTGGAAGCAGGTGATCTTATACTACAGGGTCCATCCAATCAGCAGGACAGGACTTGTATCAGTGGCCGAACTTGTGTTGTCGAAGGCATTCAGGGTCAAGACCTCTCTGACCTGGACCACTATCTGATCCAAGACACATGTGGTGCTGATCAGGTTGTAGAGTCTTTGGTGAACCTGGGCTCCCATGTTGAGGTGACGTCGAGCGGCGCCGTGGTTCATTGGGGAGTAACGCCACACACAGTCGCAGGGGGCATGTTCCAGCTTTGTTGGTGCACGAACCGGCCCATCCACGGCAACGTCTCTGTTGGAGACCTGTGCGGAACCTCAGCGTCCTTTGTGTCCACAGTTGGAAGTTTGTCTTTGCGTGGTCCTTCACCTCTCGCCCAAGACCGAACCTGTATCAGTGGAAAGACTTGCAAAGTCACCGGGCTGGAAGGACATCTATTTTCGTTCGGCCAGGACCGAGTTATGGTGCTGGACACATGTGCAAAGTTGGGGTCTGCCGGCTATGCTGTTCAGGCAAATGTTGAACTCGGTGGTGTCTTGAAATTCCAGCCAGAGCTGCAGCTATACGGCGGGATCTACCGCTTGTGTTGGTGCGGAAGGGTGTCGGAAATAATTGATACAGGGCCGAACCAAAGCTGGGCTGATGCAGAGGATGGCCTGAATGTCAGTGGCTGCCAGCTGCCAGAGGAACACCAAACAGACTTCGGCGAATTGCATGTAGTCGGCCCTAGACCTGCTGAGACAGCTCTGACATGTGTGGCCGGGCAAATTTGCAATGTGCGGCATATGGACGGACACCTGTTGACTTCGCAAAGCCCTGGCAGCGTGCTGATTCTGGATACCTGTGGAGTGCCAATGCAATCGCTTACTACGCACAATGCACTAACGAATTTCACAGAGTCTCCGGCCGCACATACTCTTGTGAATGTTCCGGTTTACGGTGGATTTTACAGAATTTGCTGGTGCTATGTCGGCTGCTCCTCTGAGACGGCTTATGCGATTGACGTCGGGCAAGTGTGGCTTCTTGGGCCCAGTGCATCAGATCACCATCGCACTTGTGTCAGCGGCAGGATGTGTCGTGTCCGAGACATCTTGGGCGTCGGCCTTTCAAGCGCAGACAGAGCCATGTTAATGGACACCTGCGGATCTCCGACGTATGTTTCTGGTGTCGTCAGTGCCGGCATGTCTAACATGTTTGCAAACGCGACATCCTTCGTCTGGAATGTCGTGACGGCACATGGTGGACAGTACAAGCTCTGCTGGTGCACGCAGAATGATGCAGTTGCCCTGGCAAGAACCCCTGTCTCTCCATCCTTCGTTACGGTTCCAAATTGCAGCGATTCGACTCGTTTCGGGCAAGAGTTTGGAAGGCTATACATAGTTGGGCCGTCTCATCCAGATCAGTCCTTCACTTGTGTCAGTGGGCAGACCTGTCAGATTAGGAGCCTCCACGATCCACATGCATCCATTGAAGATTCTCTGCTTTTGTTGGACACCTGTGGATCTTCCATCAGTTACGTGCCAAGATCTACCATGCAGCCTGCAACTACGACTCAGAGAGATGGACAACTCGTCTTCGACTGGCATGGTGTGCAAACGATGCAGGGAGGCCAATACAGACTATGCTGGTGCACAACAAGGTCTGGAGGTGGCGTGAACGCTTCTGCTCTAGATCTTTGTGAGCAGCCCGAACACTTCCTGGTGGACTACGGGCAGCTGCACGTCGTGGGCCCTTCGCTGAGTCAAGTTCGAACTTGTGTGGCCGGTTGGCCATGTCACCTCAGAGGCATCGAAGGCATGGACTTGCAGGCAGGAGATATGTATCTCATTTTGGACACTTGTGGAGCCGCCAGCCTGGTTCCTGAGTCGCCAAGCGGCTTCCTTGAATCCTCCGGGAATCGGGGTACTGATGTCGCCTTTCGTTCACCCGTCTCAGCAAGTGGAGGAAGCTATAGAATTTGTTGGTGTGGCCGAGGTTTTCCATGCAGCTCTTTCAAGGAGTTCAGCGTTGACCTGGGTGAGATGGTGGTGCAAGGTCCTAGCTCACCTGACCAGTCCTTCACCTGCATCCGGGGACAACGGTGCAGAGTGTCTCACATACAAGGTGTGTTGTCAACGAGCGCTGAGTTCCTTATTCTGGAGACATGTGCCGTGACGGGAAGAGGGACGGCGACTAGCGCTTTGCCCGTCAATGGCTCCCACGGAAGTTCAGTGTTGTGGGACATGAAACTGACCTTGCCAGGCGGTGAGTACCGGTTATGTTGGTGTGCAGATGGCGTGCCCAGGGAGCGCTCTGTGGAAAATCAGACCCTGACGACATCCGAGTGGGCCATGCTTGCCACCAATGCCAGTTCTCCTTTCAATGTCAGTTTCTTCAGCCGGAGTCCATGCCTCCAGCCAGCGCAGAGGGTAGATGTCGGGAGCTTGCACCTCATTGGCCCTTCGGCAGATCAGACCTTCACGTGCATCAGTGGCCAGCGTTGTATTGTCGACTCTGTACTTGGGCTGGGCCTGAGCAACAACGATTCTTATCTGCTCCTGGCTACTTGTGGCATTCCCAGTATTACCCAGCGATTCACACGAAGTGGGCATGCAGTTGATGTTGCCACAGGTGGTACTACGGTTAGTTGGGGAGTGGTTCCCTTGACAGCCGCAGGGGGTTCGTATCGTCTGTGCTGGTGTGCACCAGAGCCTTTCAATGTATCAGACCCCTGTGCATCAGTCATGGACTATACAGCAGATGTAGGGACTTTGTTCGTCATTGGTGCATCACCTCTAGAACAGGACAGAACGTGTGTGAGTGGTTGGCCTTGTGTCATCGATGGCACCACCGGCATGGGGCTCACCGAAGGGGATGCATTGGCGGTGCTCGAAACTTGTGGCCAGGCGGAGGCTCCAGTGGTTTCCGATGGCTCCGAAGCAAGACTGGCTGTAGCTCTTTCGCCTGTGCGAGGTCTTTGGCAGTGGATGGATGGTAGCAGTGTAGCTGTCGCCGGCAGCTACCGCTTGTGCTGGTGTTCGGGTGCAGGGAGAAATTCCAGCTTTGAGTCGAACTCGTCTTGCGTATTACACACAGATTTCCGTGTAGACATCGGTGCGCTCACGGTCTTAGGGCCAGCACCCTTGCAGCAGGCCTTCACGTGTGTCAGTGGGCATTCCTGCAGCATAGATGCCATAACCGGTGTGGGGCTCAGCCAGGATTCGATAATGATTCTGGACACTTGTGGTTCCGAAGGGGATGCGCAGTTGAGTGTAGAGCTGAAGTTGGATGCTGTCAGCATCGCCAGGCTTACCATGCAGGGCGGGCAATACAACTTGTGTTGGTGCCCTCAAGTCCCGGAATCAGCCAATTCTTCCAACGGCACAGGAAGTTTGCCAAGCCTGACATGGAACGAAACTGTGCAGCCCTGTCAGAACGCCAGAGATTTCACAGTCTCTTTCGGCCATATGCAGATCATAGGCCCGCATCCTGTGGCCCAGGATCGCACCTGCGTCAGCGGGCAAACATGCCGAATAGAAAGCATGCAGGGCTTGCACCTGTCAGAAAGAGACAGCTGGTTCGTGTTGGAAACATGTGGTAGCATTGCTCCTGTGGCCGGCTTTCCCACAGTGGCATCTGTCCAACAGTTCCAGGCAGACAACTTGACAAGCCCTTCCAGCATGGTGGTTACATGGCACACCAGCCTTACAAATGCAGGTGGCGCATACCGCTTGTGTTGGTGTGGCTGGACTGGCGAGAACTCAAGCTTGAGTAGCTGCCTTTCAGAGCAGGTCGATGCCGGCAAGCTGGAGGTGCTCGGACCGAACGGGTTGGGTCACTGGGCTCCAACGCAACGGGGTCACTGTGGCAAGAGGCCGCTGCAACCTGCTCCTCGGGCAGGGTCTACATACCAGAACCTCACCATGGATGCTTGCCGTGCCGCCTGTCATGCCCAATACCCAGACACCTGCATCGTTGCACTGTTTGCAGATCGTGGTTCGGATGTCGGCCTCTGCAGCATTATGCTGGAATGCACGGTCCTGGCAGACTCTAGCGAGGACACGCTACTCCTTTTCCCGGACAAAGCCAGACCTGACATCAAGCAGTCTCGCACCTGCGTCAGCGGCCAAACCTGCGTGATCAAGGGCCTGCTTGGGCATGGGTTGTTGGACACTGACAGCTACATGCTCATGGACAC